GTGTGTGTGTGTGTGTGTGTGTGTGTGTGTGTGTGTGTGTGTGTGTGAAACAATGAAAGAATGAAAACCATCGTCATGCGCGCTGCCAAAATAATAGACACAATTTTTTAAATGATATTGTTAAGTTTAGTTTCCTCTTTTAATTTTCTTCGCATTACACGTATACCACAGTAAACACGATGGTTCTAACTTTTAGAACCGCAATATGAAATTTGGCACTAAAATCCATTTAAGTACCATTTGTACTAGAAAAGAGATTTCAAAATGTACTAAATCAAAAATCAAAGCTTCATGTATTTATTATAGAACTTTTGAACTTTTTCTAGAGCAAATGGTACTAAAACAAAGTCAAGTGTCAAATCTCAACATTGCTAGAATCATTGTGTTTACTTGTGTGACGTATGTAATACCGCATCAATTTTATGATTGTATTCATTTTTTTTTTGCTTCGTTTGGTTCCGTTTGTTACTCAATCACGGTCGATCATCTTGCGGTGTGTGTGTGGGTTTTTTTTCCTTTCATTCTTGTGTTCATCTCCCATCATGATTTGCTGCTCTTCAATCTGCTTTGATATGCGCTAGAGTTCAGCAGTGAAATTAAATGCTTTGTCAGATCTTTTCACGGCAAAGAACATGGCAACGAACATTGAAATGAGAATGAAAAAAAAAACACACACAACACACGAATCGCACGTGGTCTTAATTAGTTTGGTATGTTGGAGTAAAATTCGGAAAAACCGCGCCGTGTTGCTAAAGCATTTATAGTAAACGCGTTGAAAAACAAAACCCAAAAACATGTGTAATTAAAGTTTTCGCCGGCCACTTTGGTTGATTCAATTTTTTTTTTCTGTTCGGTTTCAGCCATCGACCCGAGCTAGTACACTAAACAAAAGCGATGCTTGTTTTTTCCCTCTTCTTTCGGATGTTAGGCGTATTTGTTAGCCCAAATGAAAATAATTGTTCTTTCCACTAAACGTTTTGAGCAAGCATGTCGCGTGGAAATCCATTTCATTCGCTACCAAGAGTCAATTGAATCGAGCCGCAATCATTCGACAGCATGAACAATTTATTTTGAATTTTTTTCGGTTCTTCTTCTTCTTTTCGGTTTCATTCGAAGAAGAATTTATACAGTTTAATTTCAATATTTAATATGCTCATATGGTAGGAAAGAATTTGACCACGGGGCGTGTCATGTTCAAAATTAATCATAGATAAAATCGTGAAATCAATATGAACATACAATCAAAGAGCATTGAACACAATCTTTTTTTACGTATTCATGAAATATGATTAAAGAATGTTCAAATAGGCGAAGGCAAGACAGAAATTTTTTCAAACGAAATTAAACTAGCAACAGTACGATTTCTTACGATTAAATTCTTTAAGTGCGATTCTTTTTGATTTGAAATGTGTGCACACATTTCGTATATCAGTAAAATCCGCAAGCTTTTGAAATGACTTATTTTCGGTTTTCCATTGAAAATTTATTTTGCAATCGTGAAATGAATTCGAAGACTTTCTTTGACGGCCACGCATAAGCGGCAATTGTCAAAGCTAACATTTTGGCTCAAATCAAAGCTTAATACTGTGTTGTATGCAGGTGGGCGGAGTAAGAGAGTATAATTCATACTCCTACTCCTACTCCCATACAAACGGAAAATGAGTATGTCTCGACATACTCTCATACTCATAGATACTCTTTGAGTATGAGAGTAAATACTCAGAGTATATACTCTTTGATTTTGAGTATGTCTCGACTTACTCATTTTTTTGCGAAAGAAACTCTACACTTACTCACTCGTTTTCCCTCCCTCAGAAAAATATATAAAGGATATATAACTTTTTCTGAGGAGACATACTCAAATGAGTAGGAAAAAGAGTATGAAAAAGAGTATGAAAAAGAGCAGGAAAACAAGTAGGTGTAGAGTTACTCTTTGGGTAAAAAATGAGTAGGTCGAGACATACTCAAAATCAGAGAGTATATACTCTCATACTCAAAGAGTATCTATGAGTATGAGAGTATGTCGAGACATACTCTTTTTCGAAATGAGTGAGCATGAGAGTATATACTCGCGAATTCGCCCACCTGTAAAAATAATACACGGAAGTTTAGTTTGACGGAACACCTTTGCTGCACCTTACGGTACAATTGGCAAATTTAAAGTGTAACCGTAAAACCGCTAGATATGAATCGAGCCGTTGATTTGAATACTATTTCTTTCAGTCATAGCCTAAACGTGGATGAATTAATTGCTGTCCGTTAGACTTGTTGAATGAATTGAATTGCAACAGTAATGAGTCATCCACACAGCGCGCGACACACAGCTTAGTGTTTGAGTCACGGAAAACGGAATCACAGACGAAAAGAAAAAAAGCACCGTGCTTATAAAATGAATCGTTGAAATGACAACACTCATGCAGGCGAAACAACGAAAATAACAGAAGCAATCGTATTTTACGTTGTGAAATTTATACTCAAGAGTAATGAATTCGTATTGTGTTTTGTGTCGCCTACGCACTTTAAAATATTGACAATTTGCCATACCCATTGCACATGAATGGGTCTTGTTGAACACACTCAATCCGCGATACGATTGCCAAATAGAATTAAAAAAGGGGAAAAAACAGCACACGGATTTATTCAAATTGTTGTGAAAAGAAAACAAAAATTGTAATTTTTCCGCTGAGAATGAAAAACACGTATCTCGACCATTTTTTTCTCTCTCTCTCTCTCTCTCCTCTCGATTTCTACATTTAATTTATTGTCATATAAATTCTAATGCATTTGGTTTTGTTTCATTTTATTCTCCAGAAAGGACCCATAAAACGGCAATCAATTGTGTGTACACGGCAAGACAAGAAGAAAACAGAACGCAGAGGAGTCTTGACAGTCAATTATTAAAATGAACATTTTACTCTTTTGATTGGCACTACATCAACATACGATTCGTTTTACTTCATTCGTCGTGCTATTTTGCATTCTTAATTTAAATTAGTAACACTTCCGCAATTTCTGCTGCAAACACCGTACGACGACTGAAACTGAGCAGACAGTTTCCAATTCGATTTTCTTCAAAGATTATACCAAAAAAAAACCGAAGAGAAAAAAGGGAGAATAGATAGAATTTTGCAACTGAGATAAATTACGAGCTTTGGATTGTGAATGTTTTCAAAAATCGTCGATGCAAACGACAACGAGAGAACAACCTGTTTCTGTGTAAGTATTCTATGTTTCATATTGATGCCGAATTGATTATCATTATTATGATTCGAAGAAAAAATGGCGAACCATTCAAAGCACCAACAGATGCAATTCAATTTGCAAAGAAAAATGGAACTTACATGATAGTTTTTATCGTATTTCCCTTGAAATAGCCAACACCACCACCGCCTCCATCTTCGCTATCATCATCGGCACTATCGTCAGCAGCCAATACATCGACGGCCTCACGTCGAAGCAAACTGTATACTTCGATTAGTAAGATAATTGGTTTTCGAGGGAACATGGCCGCTACCGATGGTCAAATTATTTTGGCTGCGTCCAGATTTGGCGACATTCCACCGGTTTATCTCAGGTATGCAATCGCATTCGAATTGTAATTGCTTTACTCTCTTCAATATCCCATTCGTATTGTGTGCCAATTCTTATTCGGACAATTGTTTTCCAATACATTTTCGTTTCGTATCAAAACGTGCTTCAAATCATTTCTTTTTTTTTCGGTAAAAAGTATTAACAAATGGTCCATATTTATTGATCAATTGCAGAGACTTCTCAAAAACTGAATTACCAGCCATTGCCAAAATAGTCAAAGGCCAACATCAAAATTTGGGTGTGCCAACACTGTCGAATCCATCGTTGCAAAGCACGGCCCTGTTTCTGAATGCTGGGAAAAAGTACCAAATTTTAGCGCAGCCGATCAAAATTAAAGAAGGACGGAAACCAACCAGTGTCGGTGAGTGTTCATATTGATTTCGAACCATAATCAGAATATGAATTTCATTAAATTAGATAAAAATAAAGTAAGCAAAACAAAAAAATCATGCTAAATCTAATCGAAATCGTTTCGCTCGCATATTTCTTCCATTAGGGCCCAAAGTTCTGATACCAGAAACATATCCTGGCTTCTTTGAACTACTCAGTGAAGATGGACGATCAACACGTTGCATCGAATCTGTCTTAGATCTCTCTCGTAAACCAAATCTTCGTGTGCTAGTACGCGAAACGTTTCGATGTAATCATTTAAGCAAAACGATCCATGCCGGCGAAATACTGACAACGATGTACGACAACGGCAAATATTTGAAATGTAAAACGCAAAAGGATGAAGTCATTAGTTTGCCACTAGAAGCCAAAGCAAAATTTTCGCCATTTGCTAAAGAGGACAGCATAAGTGGTGTGCACACGGTGAAAAATTTACTCAAAAAACGAATGCCAATTGTAGTCAGGTTCGTATAATATGCATGTATCGTGTGAACAGCACTTTGGATTTTAAGACTTGGATAAAAAAAAAATATTGTGTTTGAATTTAATCGAAATTATTAATTGAAAAAGAAAGTTATCCTAAAAACCGACTGATTTGCATTTGACCAAACAATTCAGGTTAGTTCATGGTAATGCTCCAAAGGGATTGAAACAACCATTTGTGCCAGAATTACGCTTGCTCGGGTGTGTTGAAGTGGATCGTGTATTCGCACTGCCATTGCAAAAGGATACCGATCTGGTGGCTGTACCATTGAATGCTAAAATTAAATTGCAACGCGCTAAAAACATGGATCAATTGGAGAATTTTATCGAATACGGACGATTTCTGGAGAAGGCTCAACGCTTGTTGACCGATGCCCGTGATCGTTTGCAAATCGTTGACTTGAAGCTGTCGGACAAAGAGAAAAAAGAATCGAAGAATATTAGTCGTAAAATACCAGCATTGATTGGCGGTGGCGGTGGTACTCTGGACAGCGGCTATGTGCTCAGGAAAAGTATGAGCTGTGATTCAGCGAAATACATGTATCAAACCGACCTAACGCCATTGGCCGACGACTATGATGATATCGATCAAATTTATGATTATGTACGCGGTTTTGCTCCACTGCCGAAAAATTTGAATCGCTTCGATTCAATGAACGAACCCATTCACATCGTTCAAACCACACCGAACCAAGTGATCCACGCGACCATGAAAAGTGTCGATAATCAATCAAAATCACAACCGGACAGCGGTAACTACAGTCTCATCAAAAGTAGCAGCAATAATAACAACAGCCTCGAATCGATCAAGCATTCGAACAACAATTATCATCAGCATCATCACTACAGTCAAATTGTGCCACCCAATCAAATTCAGGTAATTTGTCGAATTAGTGTAATTGATTTCATTTCACAATAATAAAAAAAAATGTGACGGTTTAAACCTCTAATCAATCGTTAAAATTCGGCTGCTTCTATTCTAAATAGGACGATGGCAAACCGATTCCACCGCCCATCGAAACAATTCCATCGAAAAAATTACCCGAGAAACGTCATCGGCCAACGTTACCAAAACTCTATGTGAAGAATGCATGCAATCTGCATCCAAAATCACCAAACGGTAACATTTCACCCGGCAATGGCAATTTGAATGGCAACGTAAATGGTAATGGAAATGGAAATGGAAATGGTGTCGTGATCAATAACAAAGATGGTTTAGAACCTCAAAGCCCTCTATTTCATATTAGGTGAGTGGATGAACGACACGTTTTTTTCTTCTAAATATTCAATTGTAACTCAACTCATGATCATTTTCCCGGTCATTTCGCAGATATAAAAGTCTAAGTAGTTTGCAATTGACACCCGATTCAACTACGCCAATATCAACGGTACCCAATGGCCATGACAAAATTATCAATCACAAATTAAGTAAAAGTGCCAGTACACAGTGTGCTCGTGAGGGAACACTTGATTCGTCACGCAGCGGTGGCCGCACATCCGGTGAATCCGGAAAATTGCCGGAGAAAAAGACGCGTCGACTGTCGCGCCCACGAAGCCTATCGAATTTAATGTGGGAACTGCGGCCACAAAAGGAAAAATCAAAAAAGAAATTATACGTGCACCATTTTGATCATCGACAACAAGGGACGCTGTATCTTTAAATCCAAAACTCATACTTGACGCATCCAACACATTTTGTTATCGCATAATCGTCAAATAGAGCAAAAGTTTATTAGCTTCGCATTTTGAATTGGTTGAAGCAGGTAAAACATTTGGAATACAATGGTTTTAAATTGAAAAAATCAACGAATTAACCTTTAGTTAATTTTTTACATTTACCTCTTTCAGAATTGCCATCGAATTTGCAACAAAAATCCATACTTTCCACAGTTTGTCAAGCTCATCAAACTTAAATCAACACTGTTTCATATCTGATTGACGCAAGGAATCATCAGTCTTTGCCAAAGACTCTTTGGATTCGTACATTGCACAAAAAGAGAAAAGCGACACTTTTTCATTACACTTTTCAATTCTACTTTACTCCAAACATCTAAATACTCTATAGCTGTTCATCGTCAAACTAAACGAGGCATTAACGAAAATCATAAAACATAAAGTCACCTACGGACTGGAAATATAATAGAAAAACAAATTAAACACACAACAGAAACAGGGAATGTTCTCACTGATTTGAAGCCAATATTCATTGTTCCGAGAGCATAGTTGTTTTTTTCTCTCGTAGTAAAAAGAGAGGTAAAGAAGGAAAAAGTAGTAGCAATTAGTAATGACAAATTGATTTTGATCACCTTGGTACGATAGTCAAATACTTTGAAAACCATACAAATTTGCATGAAAAAAAAAAACAGAAACCAACACTTGGGTCGTATGACCAATTGCTTGTATGACAGATCAAAACTATTCGACGACTATTTCCATTCTAACTGAAAATTGAAGGAAAAAAAACTTTTTTCTTTCGAAAGAAAAACAATTCACTTGAGCTCTTAGGCGATTCGATTGATTATTTTTTTTTAGTTGTAAAGCAAAACAAGAGAAAAGTCTTAAATTGTGATGTACCGTTTTACGTTATTTTTTAATTGACACATTTACATATTATGTTTATTTTTGTCGCCTCTAAATGTGTTTTTAAGTAGAAATTGAAATACTTAGATTTTGTTTGCAGTGATCCGTACAGCGTGTAAATTATAACCACCAAGCCGTTACAGAATTTAGAGAAGAAACAGAGAAAAAAAAATCAATAAAAATTGAAAGAAGAACCCATGAACTGTTACCTGTGCTAGCCACAGGGCACATATGAGCTCAAATCTGAACATTTTGTTCCAATATTATCGAACAAAGTCAAGATTAAATTTCATCAATCACACCTTAAAACCGTCTGCTCGTGCGTGTTCACTACACCCATTTGTTGATGCATTTTTATCTTGGTCGCTATTTCGAATATATTTGTTCTCAAAACGATTTCGAGTGATTGTGCTAAAATAAATTGGATGGCGGTTATAAATTTACAGTCGATAGTTATATTCAAATAAGTTTCGTGAACAACAAAATAAAACAAACAAACAATATAAGAAATTTAATTTTTTTACCAGTTTCAAGGTCAGATTTACCTGTGTATTTCCAATCCGGAAAGAAATCGGTGTGTGAGTTAAAAATTAATGTATTGAATGTTGAATACCAAAAAAGAAATATATAAATACCTATGAAAGAAACCATTTCCTTCCTATTATTGGGACTTGGAATTAATTTTAAAAGATTAAAAAGAGATGGCGCTAAGAGTCTCAAATCAAATCGGGCCATTGTTTGACTATATTCATGGTAAACTGTCATCATTTAGCAATTTCCAGTATGCGTCATTTCGCCGAAGTGTAAACAAAAAGTTTTTTTTGCTCTGTGAACATGTCAACTTTTGTGCCTACGAAGACCAATTTGCGGGAAGCTTTGCTTTTCTGCTTCCATTTGAAGAAAAACGCAGCTGACGGACATCGTTTGCTTTGTGAGGCTTATGGGCACTATGCTCCTTCAATTTCCACTTGTGAATACTGGTTTCGTCGGTTTAAAAGTGGTTATTTTGACACGGGCGACAAGGAACGCCCAGGCCAGCCAAAAAAGTTTGGAGATGAAGAATTGGAGGCATTACTCGATGAAGACCCGTGTCAAACGCTTCAAGAACTGTCTGAATCATTGGGAGTTGACTTATCAACAGTCGGCAAACGCCTCAAAGCCTTGGGAATGATTCAAAAGCAAGGAAATTGGGTGCCGTATCAACTGAAAGAGTAATATCATCTCCGAAATCATAAATAGTTTTTCAAAAGTTTTTTATTGAACCATTTTTTTTTGCTGTTAAAAAACGAGTTCAATGCATTGATTCCATTTTTGTCATTCTCAGACGCTCAGATCCCACACTGTTTCATATATATATATATATATGTCTCTGATAATATTCGTTTTATTCGAGAAAAGAAACAAAAAATTCACATTTTAACGCATTAGAGTTTTAAGATCTATTCATCCATAAGCTTATCTCATGGCCACACCAAAACTCATGGCTATCGAACAAATCACACACACACACACACACGCTGCAAACTTACAATTAATCGTTCAACAAAAACAAGAAAATAAAATCTATGAAAATCCATGTATAAATTTATAGAAACCGTACGAATACAATAAATACAGCTGAAAACATTTAATGTGAAATTGAAAAAAAACGACATTTGTTTCATTTTATTTTAATTTTTATGAAAAATTAGATGAAAAACAGATGAATCTGGGCGAGTAGACGACTCTTGGGAATTCATTGACGAACCATATTTCGCTTTAACGAATTCGTTGGTAAATATTGTTTATTTATACCAAAAACTAAACAAAAGCGCGTGATATTTTATTTGAAAAAAAAAGAAACGCCCGAAGATAGACTATCCACTGCACACGACTCAGTTATAAACATTTTGAACAATGCCAATTTTATTTGCTTTTTTTTGATGGTGCAAATATCTCATACTGGTTTTATTTCACACGAAGAAAGTATCAATATCTATTTATAAGTGGAGGGAGATCCATGCAAATATTCCGTAGCTATAATTAACGTGAAAAGTGATCGAAAGGTGAAATGTAGAAACACTGTTTTATATGCAGTCGCAGTACCTACTTCAGAATTGAGAAAAATATTGACATTTTCTGACTAATTATCGTTCGATGTCCAACCAATCAATTGCGAGATATGGTTTATTTCCAAACCACAATTCGATTTTTTTAAGCATTTCCATTGCCTTCATCCCATTCACCGGTTGTTGTTTATTTGCGTCTTATCATTGAAGCAACCGCTGAAAGCGCTACAATACATTAAAATACGTATGATTTGTTGTGTATGTGTTGTCACCGGTGTATATATGTGTATGAGAAGAGCAGCGCTTGTTGAAGGGAGTGATGCGGCACATTACAGTTGTTTATAATAACAAAATTCTGATATTTTCGTTCTCGAATATAGCCTGCTTGCCTGGCTGGCTGGAATTTTGTGTGTTTGCAATGACAGTTGAATATCAGACGAGCAACTGAAACCACCTGTGTGAGTGTGGTACTAATTCTCTCCGTGAACAATTCCAATTTTATTTGATTTGCACATAAAAATTGACTTCAATTAACTTTTGTTAGGTATTTCTATCGTCCAGTTCGGTGTGTATTTGTAAGTATGGCATGATTTAAACTTGAACAGAACACATTTCAGCAATCAAAGAATTTGTTGTTGCTACCAATAACATCCAAGTAGAAAAGAAAAAAAAATCGGCACTGTCACGCACAATCACAATGATTGGCAGAAAAATAACCGGTCGCATCATAGATGTAGAATTTAAAAAGTTAATTATATCTACAAGTATGCATTATAAATGTTGAAGAGGAAAAAAAATTTGTCGGTAGAGCAAACACCGACCGTGTTTCAGTATCGATTCACCACCAACAACGGAGATAAGAAAAATACATGGAAACATTTTCCAACGATTTTATTTACATTTTGAGTTTGAGATATCTCTCAATATTTGTATTTATAAGTGCGTTGTCAGTCAAAACAAATTCGTTGCGGCAAATTTATTTTTGTGTGTTCTTGTTCAAAGTTTAAGTGAAGGTCACATTCAGAGTATTGGAATAATTTTTTATCTTTGTTTTTTCATCTTAAATTAATCAGACATTTCTGATAGTCCATTGAAATGGGGCTAAAGGGTTTTAGCCTTGTGACTGCATTGATTGCGGTGGTTGCGTATGTTGTGTACCAAGTACTTTTCGCACCGTTACCACCACCAAAATTTGATACTACTAAGTACTGGGGTCCAAGTTCACGAGCAAATCGAGTAGAAAAGACCGAAGTAAAACCGTTTAAAGTTGATTATACCGCTGATGTCATCGCCAAATTACGTAATCGCCTCAGTGAACCACTGCACTTAGTCGAACCATTGGAGAATGTTAACTTTCGATATGGATTCGACAAATACATGCTGGAAAAATTGATTAATTACTGGCGCGACGATTATCTCACACGTTGGGACGAACGGCAAAAGTATTTGAACGGATTGCCACAGTTTACAACGACAATTCAAGGGTAAATCAATTGATTATACTGTATTCAGAAAACAATAATTCCCAATTACTAATTCAATATCATTCCAATTTTCCAAAATTCAGTCTGAAAATCCATTTCATTCAAACCAAAAATCAAACGGTGAAGGCAAAGAATGTGATTCCGTTGTTGTTGATCCACGGCTGGCCCGGTTCAGTGCGTGAATTCTACGAAATAATTCCAAAATTGAACAAAGCAAAGGATGATACTGCCTACATTGTTGTGGCTCCAAGTTTGCCTGGCTACGGTTTTAGTGAAGGTGCCAGCGTGCCAGGCTTGAATCCAACTGAAATGGCCGTTGTATTACGAAATTTGATGATCAGCTTGGGATACAATAAGTTTTTAGTTCAAGGTGGCGATTGGGGATCGTTGATTGGAAGCTCATTAGGTAATTTTCGAAGAAAGCAGCTACTTCCATTTGCAAGCGGCAAAACCAGACAAAATCGATATTTGGACATTCGATTTTAACATTTTTTTCTTCAATTTTTCTTTACTTCTCATAAGCGACACTCTTCCCCGAAAATGTAATCGGTTACCATTCAAATATGTGCGCCGCAATGTCCCCTGCAAGCACCTTCAAAGCCTTCATCGCTAGCTTCTATCCGAGTCTTTTCGTTCCGGCAGAACATGCCGACTTCTTTTTTCCCATGGGAGAGAAATTCGCCTATTTAATCGAAGAAAGCGGCTACTTCCATCTGCAGGCAACCAAACCAGACACAATCGGTAATTGAGCATTCGTACAGCTGACTTTTTCTCCATTTTGTTTTGAAAAATATTTTCAATTGTTTTGAATTCGGGCTCTGTTTTGCGCTTTGAGACCAATTTGATTTCTCTGTTTGAAGAAAAGATGTTACTTTTCCAGGTACGGCTTTGGCACACAATCCCGTTGGACTTGCTGCATACATTCTGGAAAAATTCTCAACATGGACCGATAAGAATAATCGTGATGCAAAAGACGGCGGTCTTGATAAATCCTATGCAAAAGATGCGCTCTTCGACAACCTCATGCTCTACTACCTTACCAATAGTATAACGACATCGATGCGTTTGTATGCGGAAGCATTTGGAAAGCAACACTTCGGTTTGCAAATGGAACGGGTTCCAGTACAAGTACCAACTGGATGTGCACGTTTCAAGCATGATTTGGCCCATGAATTCGATTGGCAACTCAATGTAAAATTCCCAAAATTAATTCATAGTACATATCACCGCAGCGGCGGCCATTTCGCTGCAATGGAATTGCCAGACGTTTTGTACAACGACTTCACTCAATTCGTTAAAAAATTGAACATTACCCAATAGACATGTGTGGGAAAAAAAACATTAGATTCTATAAAAATTAATTGAAAAAAGGGATCAAAAGATTGAAATAAAGTAAAACAAATCGAACGAATAAATGGAAAAAATTACGAATAAAAAATGAAACCGGCATAAGTTCTATTAATCATTGCGTAAAATTATACCGCACGTCATTCAACGTGCATAATACTTGTTCAATTTCCCCACAGATGGTGCTTGACGATCTGTCAGATTGAATGCAATCGTTCTAGTTCTTTCCAACACAAACAACCAAAAACCGTTAAAGATTCATTCTTTTGATGGCCGATTTCAGGGCATTTTAAGTGAATTTCTCTGATTTTAACAATTAAAAACAATGCATTACATTTCAATAATTGGTAAAAATCGAATGCCATCCATTTACTCGTTCCGCAAGATCAACTTTCTTGGCGGGCAAATAATGAGTCTACATGCGGTTTATATGTAAATCGAAGAGGTCGCTGAACGTCGAATCATTAAAATGGTGTGTCAGCAAAATAGCAATACATAGAAATGAGAGAAGAAGAGAAGAAAAAAAAACAACTAACGCGCGCGCCTTCATTCGATGAACGAGCGCATTTCTCGTGTGTTGTAATGCGTGTGATGGAATACGCGCGCAATTGAGCTGCTGAGCTGCTGAGAGAGTGAGTGAGTGAGAGAAAGAGAGAGCGTTCGGGACGGTGTGGTGTGGTGTGGATGTGTGATACGGTTTTTGGATTCGACAGTCATAATTTTCACATTGGCAGTGTTAGTCGTTGTTTCTGGCGTATATGTTCGAAACCGAAATAACCAACCTAAACACAACTGTCTCTTGTTATATACCATACCAAGCGGAAAAGTAAAGTAAGCAAGAAAAAATACAGAGAAGAACCGATCAAGAGATTCTTCTTAAGTTGTCGACGTTTACGATTTACATAGTGTTTGTTCTCATCGCATTGGCATTAGCCATCCGTTGTTTTTGAAAAAAAATTCATTTTATCTTTGTTGTTTGGTTTCGGTGAAATCAATCGGCGAGCAGAAACCGAACGAAGAAAAAATTCATTTTGTGCCGGACAATCAGGAATAATTAGAAGCAACCGAAGAAAAAAGTGTTACATAGTGCAAAATATAATCAACAACGCGATAACCCCGCAACAAATCGACGTGGAGCAGTAACGACGAAAATCAAGTGCAATTCCGTTTTTGTGTGCTTGGACTAAGTGTGTGTGCACAGAATTTCTCTCAATCGGTTCTGACGTAAAAAATCCAAAGAAGTTTCAATACTTTTTTCAAAAAAATAAAAAACAAACACAAGGTATACCAAAGGGATTGGCTTTGGAATTAGAGTTTTGCTTGTAACAAAATGCGGCCGCATTTACAACAACAACAAATTTTTCATAAATTTTGATACACACACACTCACAAAATTACCGACATTCATTTTGCAAGCGGTCTTTTTTCTTCTTCTTCTTTTTCTTGAAATTATTCGATGGACAAATAGAGTCAAGTAGTAACGAAATTGGATTATAGCAAAAAAAAGGAGAGAAAAAAATAAAAAAATGAAGCGAAAGAATAAGAGAATTGGCTCAGTATGTTTGTTTGTGTGTGCATTTTGTATGATGTTATTTTATATTCGCTTCCGTGTGTAAAAACTCGAATATGGTGCAAGCGGTAAGGCGATTTGGCATGGAACAAATATGAAACCAAAATTATAATCCATTCAAAAAGAGAGACACCGAGACGAGAAAAAAGAATTAGCAAAATGGTTTTTCCTTTATGACTAAAGTGTGATTATTACTATTTTTTTCTCATTCTGTTGCTCAACGAAAGTATTTAACAAAAAAAAAAACACCAATAAGTGAGATTGTGTCTGTAGCTGAATTCTAATGGCACTCTTTCTTTCTTTATGTGTGTGTGTGTGTGTGTGTGTGTATGTCTCTAAAAGTCAGTCACTTCACATTTGATCTCCTTTCTCCTTACCTATTTTCTCTGCTTATTTTCAAATTCATATTCGCGAACACATTCAGTGTTCCAACCAGTTCTATTTCTTCGCAAATAAATTTGAATCGCACACCGACACTTGAACTGAGCGAAAGAGTGATGTGCTTCAAAAGATGCAATATATGTAATGTGCAAATCGTGAGCACTGACATGAAAATCGGCCGTTTATAATATTGCATTAAGAAACCTATTTTCGTTGGTTTTCGCCCCGAAAACATAAAACACATGCACTATTTGACTTATTTTGATGCATCAAAATTGCTAACGACGTCGACTCAAAGAGAAAGACAGCAACAGAGTGAGAGGATGAACGAGATAGAAACAGAACTGGGAATCGACTGAATGCATTTACTCGTATTTGTATATTAAATGGAATGAAACTAGAGAACGAAAAAACAAAACATTTCAAACGAAGAAAGCATAGGGAACAACAAAGGTGGATGCAAAGTCAAATTTATTGCCAATCGAAAAGTTCTCGGTCTCTCCTCTCTCTCTCTCTCTCTCTCTCTCTCAATCGCTCTGTGTAAATAATCAAAATTCATGAAATGAAGCGGCGCGCACACACTGTGCATGTGAAAGCCCCACCGAATGAAGGAGAGTATAAGCGATGGGACATGATTCAGAATGAAATTCATGAGCAAACACAGAAAAGATGGTGTGTGATGAGTCATTCTCAATGGGAGAGAGAGAGAGCAGTGTGTTGATTACGTGTGCATTACTGTGCTGATTGAGTTCAAATGGGGGCTCCACGCAACACAGTAGGAAAAAAGGGACATATTGTTCATTTTTTTTCATTATTGTTGTTAGTTTGCGACATGACAAAAAAAAATCATCTTTCCGGTTTGTTTGCGCAATTCTTTTTTTGATTGTTTCACTGAAATAATGTACCGAAGAGATTTTATTGAATGGATTTAATTGGTTTTTGGTGTGTGGCGGCTCGCCTCTTTTTTCTATCTCAATCTCTTCACGAGAATACTGTGTGAGTACGTCGCATTCGGTGTGCGTTATTTGAGAAGGAAGGAAGAAACACAAGAACCGAAAAAAAATTAAGAAACAAAAAACAATTCAATGAAACATTTTCGAAAGATTTTAGGAGTGCCGTTATAGAGTCGCATAAGTCCATCGAAGAATAAGAAGAAGAAGCAGAGGAATCATGAGCCGGAGAACACACGCACAACACACATGTAGTTCTCCTCTTACTCTCGCTTTATCTCTTACATATTACACACATCGTTCGGCATCTTGTGCCCATGCGACGACGACGACGTTATTTTTTGTTTTATTCGTTTTCATTTGTTGCCGCTGTCGGTAGATGTGTATGTGTAGAATTGAATTTTAAAATGATTTTATAACGATGATTTTTGTCGTTACATTTTCTGTTCCTTTGCCAATGCGAGAATAATTGCGTCATTTTTCAGTGTTCGGGCCAATTTCATCGCGTGGTAGCATCCACCTTAATTCTTGTTTATAAATCGGTGTGGCGTGCGCGAGAGCGACTCTTCAGCTACATACAGAGAAAAAAGCGATCTGGTTGTCATCCATTTCTTCAACGCTGCTGCTTTTGCTGTTCGGTTTCAGACTTTCCAAATTCAATAAATGTCACACACGCACGCATTTTGACAATTTGTGCAATTGATTTCGTTTTTTTTTCTTTTCGATTTTCGCCAATCGAAATAAAAAAACAAACGAAAGACTATGTGATTCTGTTCTCTTTTTTTGGTATGGACCGGCTTTGAAGTTCGTATCCATTCCCTTGGCAATGTATTTTAAAGTCGTATTCGGCCTCAACATACACACAAAGTCTTCTCAGTTTCTCACATTCAACGACGAATGACGGGCGACATTTTTATACTGTAGCCGCCGTTGGTACGATTCCATTCTTCTTCTTTTTTGTTTCATATGTGTATGGATATGTATGCAGCGGTTCGGATTTTAAGCCGTAAATTTTTTTTGTTCGTTTTATATATGGAACAAAATCGGTTAAACACACATATCACTATCTACGGGCCGCGTGTGAGTGTGTATGTTTTTCAAGACATACGGCACACAGTTTCTCTCTCGCTTGCTTGCTTTTGCTATATATTCTTGCTATTTTGCCTCGATATGGACGAGAAAAGACTACACAGAACCCGAGAAGTGTTGCACGCTCTCCTCGTGCTATAGTTTGCGTGCTCGATGTTGCATGTCATGTACCATCGAGTGCTTCCAAATACACAAATACACCGTGCGCGCTCCCAAATATGTGTGTGTGTGTACACAAAGACGGGATAGCCCGATTTGTATATATTCTATTGGATACATCATCCGTTTTATACGTACACACATTTGTATGCGTATAAATGTTTCAAAAGAATTTCGCCGTTCCATCTTCGTACAATGCCAATGCAATTGCTTTTGTTATTCTATTTTGTTTTCTTCGATTTTTATGCATTTGTTCATATTTGCTTCGGATATCTATACATAGGCGCAAGAGAGACCGATTTTATGTGAATTTAATCATAGTTGCCATGTGCCTGGCTCGCACAACTTTTCTTTTCTTTTCGTTTTGGCTTCAATTCGTCGGCACGGTAAGGACGTAACATTGAAAATCAGAGCATTGAATTGAATGATTGATCGAAGCAACAACATAGCTAATGTAACGAAGATAGAAAGAAAGACGGAATGAAAAATGTATTGGCATGTGGCAGCAGGCGTTGTTTTGACTTTGAATGCACACTCGACTCGTTCAAAGGGTTAAACAGCAATGGAGCATTTGGCGAAAGTTGTTGATTGTGCTATAATTAAACCAAACTTGGGCGAAATGAAAATATGGTGTTTTTCCCCTTTTATCTTTAAAATATAATTGTCCCTATTTAGCTTTGTTCCATTCGATTTCTGTTCTATCGTAACTAGTTCTATTTATCACTTTTTAAGGTGCAATCCAAAGGAAATGACCTTATGTTTTATTATTATGAAGTGATGCAATGCAACGGAGACGACCGTAACTGGTTTTTAACTGGCGCATCACCGTTATGTTTTCCGATAAACGAATCATGAGCGCGGGCGCGCTCTCGTTCGCTTTGGTGAACGATTTATTCAGAAATGCGCGCGCTCTTTCATGAAAGAAAGCCGAATCAAAATCAATTGGGTTTTTTGTTGTTGATAAAAATCGCGCATATATGCTTTTAGTGAGCTCATAAAGTTGATTCTGTTTTTTTTTTTTCTTCAAACATTCCGACACACACTGTTAATGCTGCTCTATCACCAAATTTGTTGAATTGATAAAGCAAAATGTGTGAATAATTGTGTTGACTCAGACTTGAATTAAATTAAAATTATAAGCTGCCTAGTCGCCTGAGTAGCGATTGAAACAGAGAAAAATCGGCCTTAAATTATAATTAATTTTTTTTGTCGCAATGTAGCATAAACATAATACTAGTAGAAGAAATGCTAATGAGATGACCGGTGAAAATAAATGACACATACTCAACACTAGACTAAACTGTGTCAGCTAAGCGCGCCGATTAAGTAGTTGCAATGGTTTTTTTTTTGGTGAGTTCGATTTTTTTTCGACGTCGATCAATATGGGAACACAAGAGCAACGAAAGGTTCGTGAGACTAACCGAACGATATGTGGCCAAAGAATTCCATTGAAAAACAGTTTCAGGTTAAAATCATATTTATAAGCGATTGGTCCATCTAATCGGTTTCGACAAACTGCAATACACATTCACACTCACCAAGAAACAGCAAAACGAAGAAGAGAAACAAAAAGCAACAGCAGCAAAAGCAAAGAAATGAAATGAGTTGAAAAATCAAATCAATTCGTTTGGCCGTGTTCGCCGTATGTCTTTTATGGTTGCTTTCTAATGAGTTACTGGCTCATTTGAATAAGTATATTTCGAATGGCTTCGCCACACAAACACAATTCACACCATTGAATTTTTTATAATGATTTCATGGGTAGTGCGTCCGTCTGTCCGTTCGCTGGCTCACCAGCTGGCTGGCTGATTGGCTGCTTGGTTGGCTGAATGAATGAATGGCTGGCGCGCACACGCTTACTCGCCTAGTGGCGCAAAAGCGATCGCCACGCTATGATCATTTTGGATTTGTGTAGTGGTCTCGATACTAAACGCGTTCTAATAACATACTTTTGGCTAATTAATAATTTTCATACAATTTTTGTCGTGTGTTCGTTTTAGTCGCCTCTTCTCTTCTTCAATCCGATTTGAGATCGTTGTTTCTCTTTTTTTCACACCAAATAGATTTTTGCGCTTTCCCTTAACATTGAGTGAGCCTTGTGTTATCATCCATCTTGCTCTCACCCACTTTCGCAGAAGTTTTATAAGAATTTTCGTTTTAGACTCATTGTTTTTATTTCTGTGTCGAAATTTATTACAAACGCGTCACCACACCGAAGAAATGACGTACAAAAAACATCATTCCAAAAGAAATGAGAAAAAAAACCGAATTGGAATGACGAAAAAAAAAATTGGAACGAAAAATCAGGCGGAATTTGAACGAATAAAATCGGTATCGATCGTTAATATTTTCTGGTTTGCAGCACTTTCTTCTCTGTGTTGTGGTTCCAGTCAGCTGTTAATGTGACTTGAATCACACACACACACACAGTTGAGTAAGCTTGACCAAGCAGCCAATCGTGTAAAGTCAGTGGTCACATTGAAGAAGTGAGAAATTTTTCAAATTTTCAGTTAGTTTTCTTTTTCGTTTCTCTTCTCATTCGTGAATTGTTGTGTGTGTGTGTGTTTTTTTTTTTTGCGCGACGGAATTCGAATGAGAAAATAGTTATCGGTTCAGAGCATCGTTAGTAGACGATGTTAATCATATGCAGGAATGTTGCACACTTGGTTCTTTTTTTCACTTCTTCTTATTGTTGACGATCAATCGAAGCTAATTAAATTGCGGATATGCGGCAAAATGCCATTAGAACACACAGTGTGTGGCCATTCTTTCGTGCGTTTGTAAAGTGTGATAAAAAAAAAATGCCGGATTACTCTCTCTCGCTTCCTCTCTCTTTCTGTGCTATTGTAAATTGCGAGCTGAGTTGATTTGCGAAATTGCGGCCAACGAAAAATTAGAGTACGCATACACATATTCGAACAGCGTACAAATGAAAACAAAACATGGAATATTTTTCAATGCAACAAAGTTATGGCTTCGAAAAAAAAACGATTTTTTTTTTGTAGAAAAATTTCTCTTTGCTAATGTTGTTCGCAGTCATCGTCGTAGTCGTCGTCGTCGTTTACGATATCAATATGTTTTTTTTTCGTTTCTTGTGTATGGTTGTTGTTATTGCCCAGTCTTCCGGCCGAAGCGTGTGTCTGTGCTGAGCGAAAACATGTAATCATGCTGTTAGCTTGTAATTATACGGCAATTGAGTGTCTATTGAAACGTGTACGTTTTCGCGATATCGAAACAACAAATTATCATTTACAGATTTTTACCAGATGAATATAATTCCACGGAATGCGACGATCACATTTCAGTGGGGCCGATTTCTCGTTTGTGTACTCGATCTCAATCGCAATTGCGACTTGGTACAATGTATGCAAATATGCATATCGGTGTAACCGATATGAAAATTAGATGTGGACATTAATCATTTTGCAAGAAGAGCGCACGATATCTGCGAACGAAGAAGAAATACACACAGAGAGAGAGAGAGAGAGAGAGAGAGAAAAGCAGCGAATCAGTGGTGGAAAGCCGAACCAACCAAACGACCGAGCGATTAATTCAAGATAGAGACAAACGATCACACTTTCATTGGGCATCAAGGAGCCCGTTTGCATGCATACCCACTCTCACACACACCGGAATATTATTGAAATTAAAATTTCTTCGGGCCACTGTCAACAAGCTCGAACGCGCGCGCGCGCATACAAATTTGAAATGAAAAGTGATTCGAGTCATAAAATCGATTCCCAATGAACTAAATCGTGCTGATATCAAAATTCACATATATTGAATAAATTTTCGCAACAGAAAAACACCATAAATTGTAGATTACCATGTGCAATTAATTGCACGCAATCGAATTTATATATATTTTCCAGCCATTGTAAATATTGTGCACAACACATCCTGCCACTTCGAAAATAGAGTGCAGGTTGAATCACCACCATCTGCGTGATCTGTTGAACACCCTGTTTGCGACATTCAATTTAATATTTTATGCTTGCGCTACCATTGAGCGCACGGCGTGGCACTCTCATTCATTTCGTCGACCAAACTCAATTCGAATGTGAACTGCATAACGGATCATTTTCAAGTAATAGAAATGAAACGAAAAATAAAAAAACAAGAAGAAAAAAAAGAAAAAGAAATGTAAGCCAAGCGAACAGAAAATGAATCAGCAGACGGTTTACGTGTTACACACCGTTTGTTTGTTAGGTTTGAACGAAATGACGTACCATGATGAGTTTTCTCCATTTTTATCGCTTAACGCCAATCGGTCAAATACCATAAAACTGGCTCAAGCCATAATTTTTTTAGTTTTAGTTTCACGCCACATACACACATACACACAAATTGTGATATTGAACAGAATTTTCAATTCCAAAGACGTTTGCATTTCAATCAGATCAACATTTCCGTGGTGCTATGCTCCACACTTGTGTGTGTGTGTGTGTGTGTGTGTGTGTGTGTGTGTGTGGCTAAATTCGTAGGTCATTAGAAAACGGTGGAATGGAAATTGGAAAGAATAGAGTTTTACGCAAAACTTTTGACGCAATTTTATAGCGCTCTCCATTTCGATTTCATTTCGTCCATTCGATTCAAGGTTCTAATTGTTTGGATTATAGTCGAAACAAAAAAAAAACGATTCTCCACCACATTCACCTGTGTAAATGTGCGATGAAGTAGAAATACACGGATCCAAATATAGAAACCAAATTTTCTATTATTCCATCAAACTATAGACGCTGGTTTTCTTTTTTCCATTCGCTTTTCCAACCAATTTGTATTCAAACTTTGACCGATTTACAGCGGAAAATAAAAGAATAAATAAAAAACAAACATAAAACTTTGCTCGTAATTGAAACGTCTCGATAGCATCTAGTCACTAACGAACATATTTCCATTTCGTGTGTGTTTCTGTTTTCGGGCTTACCATAATAGATCCGAATAATAATTGTTTGGATCGGAGTGTAGCCTCAACTGCGAGTAGGAAGACCTTTAAACTGTTTTTGTTTCTGCTTCTTCATTTCGATTTTGAATGTGTAATTCTAGACACGATATAAATAATCTGCAACATGCAAATGCAAATAAGATCAAACATTTCGATATAGGCACCACCGGTATATCACCCATTTACGTAAGGCTCTGTACGAAAAACACACAAATAGCCAGCCAGAGATAGATGATTCAGTTCTAACCTTTCCAGTTGTCGCTGAAATTCAATTATGTTGCATGATTTTGTGTGTGTGTTCGGTAAAATGCAAGCAAATGGCACACCTAATCCTCGATATCCACCGTTGTGTATAATATTAACTGAGCCCACAATGCTTTTCCTCCCGGATAAATATTCAAGATTTACACATTTTAAAATTGTTTTCATAGGATTTTAACCGATTTGAATTTTTTTTTTTTTTTTTTGGCGAAATGATTATAATGAAAATGATTATAATTTTTTTCTTCTCTCTCTCTCCCCCGTCTTTTCTACCCATTTTGCAGTTATAAAGCAGCAAGTGTAACAATATAAGTACATCAAAAGGGCATAATAATGGCGGTGAACGTGTATTCAACAAATGTTACATCAGATAATTTGTCGCGGCATGACATGCTGTTGTGGGTAAACGACTGTCTGAATGCACAGTTTGGAAAAATCGAAGAGCTTTGCACAGGTAATTTTATGCAAATGTACAATAGTTGAGTGAGTTTAACGTATTACGTTGTACGGTTGTTGTTGCTGCCTTTATTTTATGTCTTGAAATTCTGCATTGATGCATCAATATATATGGGCTTTCGATTTTCTATACGAAGATTAAAGTGCCGCATTCGCCCATGAGCGTCGCTCCGCATCGATATTTCTTTTATTTTATTTTTTTCTTTATTCTCGATATGTAACGTAATTGTTATAAGAAGTATTTTTTCCTCTTTGATTTCAAACATAACTTCTAGCTAAAATATTTAAATCATATCTTGCTTGGAATAAAAAAAGAAAGAAGCAAAACACCATATCTTTGCTTGAGTTAACCGTTTTTAATTTAATTTGAATTCAATCAATTTCCAAAGGGTCGGCCTACTGTCAATACATGGACATGCTGTTTCCGGGTTCGGTGCCGATGAAACGCGTCAAATTCCGTACAAATTTGGAACACGAATACATTCAGAATTTCAAGATTTTACAAGGTGCATTCAAAAAGATGAACGTCGATAAGGTAAGACTACACAATAAAAATCATACACAGACAAATAAAACTGCTTGAATGGCAAAATAAGTAAGCAAATGAAAAAAAAATGCACTAAACAGAATATATATGCACGTGGGTGCATCCATCGTCGTTGCCGTCGCCTTCTGCCGCCTTCACTATGGCATTCCAATTGTGATGGAAAATAATCCAATTTGCCAGCAAACAACAATAACAGCAAGAGAAACAGAAAAGCAATAAATCATGGCGTTTTAATTATGCAATTGCAATACACACAAATGATCGATTCATTTTGGAGCACATGGTTCATTGCAGCTGAAAACCGTTTACACCGTCCAAACGCCATGAATTCAATGTGTCAATCGATCGAATGATTGAAAATCAATATACACACAATTACGGTGTGCAATGTCAACATTCAAGTTCCAACCATCCGTATTTTTTTTTTTTTCATTTTCTTTTCGTCTTTTTCGATACGGTTCGATGTGGTTGGTAATAGATATCGGTTTAGAATATATATATATATATATATACCTATCTACGGCATGATTAAATTCATTGTAAACATTTTCGAAGCAAATCTAGAAAAGAAACAATCTATGAATAAAACAATCGCGTGTATGCTCGAATCGGTGTGTATATGTAATGTGTGTGTGTGTGTGTGTGCACAGTGCACAAACTCCATTCTACCACAGCACACAGGAGAAATAACCGTGAAAAATGCGCAAAGTAAGAATGAAACAAGCGTTGGAATACGAGAGAAAAAAAACCTCAAACACACACAAGAATCAATCTAAAATAGAGACCAATGGATAGTGCGAGCAATGCTCGCCGAGCACACTATGTGCAAACGATAAAAAGAAAAGCATCCGCTAAATGTTAATTGTTAATTCCATTTATTTTCGTTCGGTCCGTATTGTTCTACACGATTTTGTGTCTTCGTCTTCTTTTTGTTTGTTGTTGCTGTTCATTGGTTCATTCTTCCTTCTGTTCTTGCTTTCTCTCTCTCTCTCTCTCTCTCTCTCTCTTGCTCTTCTCTGATTCGTTCTAAAAATAGCGGATCAATGTTGCTGAACACTTGGCTATGCGCATTGCATGTTCAGCGAATAGATACGTCTATCAGACACCACATATATCTTTGTCTAAGACACAATCGATTGCATGCATCTCAATGCTGTTCATGAACAGTAACCGCAACAATAACAACAACACAAAAACCATACCACATAGGATAGAAGCAAAAGAGGAAGAAATACACACATACAATTTGAAAGCTTACGTTTTCTCGCCTTTTTCCTGCCGTTTAGCGTTGCATACACAGCAGAAAAAAAACACCAAATTCAGTTTTTTTTTATTTCAATAAATGCACGACGCGTACATAAACACAGTGCATTTGAACAGTGCACATTATGTTCACCATGCCTGCATTTTACAACTGGTGATGAGTTTTAGGCGCTGATTTATCTGATGCCCACATACGTGGAAACGATGAGAGTATAGGCTCTTGAGAGAGTGAGAGACCAAAACCAAACGTGGTACACCGTGCACAGTGACATTACGATAAATAGAAAAAAAAATTGGTTATTTTTGGCCAAAACACTCGCGATCCGAATTTTATTTCAAGAATACGACAATCGTATATGTACGACGAACGCAAACCAAACGCATATAAATGGATGAAATGAGAAGTGTATACGTGGAGAAAAATCATACGATCGAAAATTATGGAATCACATTTTGTCATCGATTTTTTTCTCGATAGCTCATTAATTTTACTGTTACTGTGTGTACTGTATTCATATACAACTCATCGGAAATGAATGGCGTTATATGAGGATCGATTGTTTTTTTTGTCATTCTTCTACTTCGATTGATGTCATTGTAGCATTAGAAGTCATTGACAGTTCAAGTGAGGAAAAAACACAAGTCAATGGAATGCTGATAATTTCATTTCATTCAATATGCGAATCATCGTGTTACCTAATATGATTATTGTCATTCCCAAAAATGTTCTACCGAAAACATTTCACCGGAAGCACCGGTTGATTGAATAAAACAAAATCAAGGAGAAGCAACGATCAAAAGAAAACCAATTAAATTTAATATTTCTATTAACGGTTCATATATTTTGTTGTTGTTCATCGATTCCATCATAATCCTAATCATAGAAACAACACACATCTAAATTCATAAAACATTCGTGTTGTGGTTTCTCTCGCGCTCCGTGAATGTATTGAATAGTTTTATTTTCATCGTTTCCGACCATACAATACATGCAAATAAACGAATGAATGACGTTGAACTGACCCGGTAAAACTTCTACTTACTTAGTACCGGGGTCAAAGAAAGATATAGAAAAAAAAGAACGATAGGTTCATGCCGAGAAGTATGACACTATTTTTGTAACGATTTGTATCTATCGATTTTCTGGTTGGATTTTTTTTTCACGCATCGAATTGTCGTCAACGTTTTCAGTTTTCCAGCATTTTATTTCATGTTGATTTATTTTGACAATAACACGCGACGTTCAAGCTCAGAACCAGTTCGCACAAAGTTTTTATTTTATTTTTTCTTGCTTTTGGTTCAATTCCAAAAATGAGTTCGACTGTGATTTCTGATTCAATACGCGCAAAACTTTCTCAAAAACGCAGATAATTCCCGTGGATAAATTGATAAAGGGCCGTTTCCAAGATAATTTCGAATTTTTGCAATGGTTCAAAAAGTTTTTCGATGCAAATTATGATGGTCGAGAGTATGATCCGCTGGAGGCACGTTTTGGCATACCATTGGGTACTGGAGCCATTCAAAACGAACTCGGCACTGGTAACATATGCACCGAAGTGACTCAGAAACGTCAAATACCGCGTCAAACACCACGACGTCCCGGCGCAACCAGAGGAAGTAAGAATTATTAATCTAGTACAAACAACTCTCTTTTTCCCACAAAAACACACAAACACACACACACACACAATTTCTCACCATATTTATTTTACTTTCGTTGTTTGTCTTCTTCTGACAATTTCTTCATTTCAATTTCAATTTTAATTCTCGAATTTATCTGCAGCATTCTTATCACTTTTGTTGTTGTTCTTTTTTTATTTTTGCATTTTCTTATTTAATTTCGCAGTTGACTAGCATCATTTCGAATAATGCACATGAACGTCCCATGTTTGTACAAAGCAATGTATAGATTAATGACCACATAATATATATTTGCAAAATATCACAATGCCTTGCTACTACTGCCCATGCAATTACAAGTCAATGGTTTCTCGATTATCAAAGAATTTGTATGATTTGGCTTCATTCATTGCTCATGAGTTTATTTTCACATGACACACTTGACGGCGATCCAACGATGAATTTTCTGTTGTTTTTTCTTCCCTTCAGTTTATCAACGCGAATTCCATATTCGTTATTCATATTATGATTTGTTGTATGAATGAAAAAAAAAAACAAATTTCATATTTTATATTGTAAATTTTATTTCTATTTTTCGTTTCTTTTGTTGTATATTTAATCATTTCGATAAATTTATACTTTTTTCTTTAGATCATACCCATAGATAAGCTAATCAAAGGTCGTTTCCAAGACAATTTCGAATTTCTTCAATGGTTCAAAAAGTTTTTCGATGCAAATTACGATGGTAGAGATTATAATGCATTAATTGCACGTGATAATTTACCGATGGGATTGGGTTCGGGCAGTGGTGCTGCAGTTGCAAAGGCAGCAGTAAATGCTCTACCAAAACGTACGATTGCATCGTCAGTTGCTTCGAAAACGAAACCATGTACGTTCCAATGCTCTATGGGTGTTTTTCTTCTTTTTTTTTTAAATATAGATTGTTTCGTTGTTAAATTTGATTTATTTATTTTGTGTTTTGGTAATGAGTTTTGGGATAAAAGGTTTAGTTGTGACTAATTGGAACTAATGGAAGAAATGCCTAAATGTTAAATGGGAAGAAATTCCACTTTTTTTTTTTTCATACGATGAAAATTTATCGAAAACTGTTTTTTTCTGTATTTTTTGAAAATATCATTCGAATGATATTCGAGATGAGGAAGTTAGTAAATTTTTGTAGCTTGAAAGGGATCAATTTTTGTTGTTTTAAATTTTTTGTTAAAATTTCTTTTAATTTTTTTTTAAATTGATTTGTAGATTGAGAAGGCGATTTGCACACTCACATACATTTTATTAACATGCGAAACAAAAAATTATTATTATTTTTTTGGTTCATTAGTTGAAATTAGTTACAATTAGCACTTACCATCTTTTCCAACACACCCAAAAATACACACATACACACAAATTAATTTACACTAAATAACAAAATTTACTAACCAGCACAATGTATTTCTCTATTTTTCTCTTATCTCTTTCCGGTTCAATTTTTGTGTATTTTTTATTGTCCCATTCTGTGTGTAATGTTATTCTAATTGTGGCCGGTCGCATAAACTGCACGTATTGAATTTTGAAAATCAAATGCTAATTGCGCATTTCGTAGTAGCTAAGGCAACTCCACGAACGGTAACACCGCCAACGGCCCGAGTACCACCAACGGCTGCATCGAAACCGGGCGTCAACAAGGGCTCCACCGAAAATAATAGCCACAACAATTCGGCGCTGAATGCCCAAGTCGATGATCTGACAAATCAGGTATGTTATTTTTTTTTAGTATTGTTGCCACATTTTCATCATTTATTCCACCGTCTGAATGTGGACAATTTGACACCTTCATAAGAAAGATACCACAATTTTGGATTTTATAACTAAAATATAAAAATGATTGCGTTTCAGGTGACCGACTTGAAATTGAACTTGGAAGGACTCGAGAAAGAGCGTGATTTCTATTTCAGTAAATTAAGAGATATTGAAATTTTGTAAGTATTCCGTTTTTCGTTCAAACCAAGAGTCAAGGGACAGTTTTTATGAATTTTTAATTCATTTTTGTTCCGTCGACATTGGTCAGTCGTTTTGGGATGTAATTTTTCATAATCAACATTGTTCTGTTTTTCAACTATATTTTCAGATGCCAAGAGGATGATGACGAACCTTCGCCATTAGTTCAAAAAATTCTAGACATTCTCTACGCTACAGAGGTAGATATTCCAACATCTTTGGTATTTTTCATTATTTTTTCCTTTCTTTTTATTTCTCCAAATTCTCTTTCAAAATTATAATTCAAACTAAAATGTTTTTCTTGTTTATTTGCAGGATGGTTTCGCACCTCCCGATGAGATTCCACCAGAAGATGAAGAATATTAGATAACAAAAAATCCCATCCTAAATAAGAAACGTCAACAAAAACAGCAAAATCTCCCCCAGTTTGATTGCATTATTTTCTTTTCGATCTGCAGTAAAAACAGAAAAAAAAATCAAAACAAAAAAGCCCACATTGCACCGACTAAAATATTCATTTAGCCATTGCTGCCTTCCAAAAATCTGGGAACCCGAGTGAATGGACATGTTTTTTTTTCACCTCCAATTCTGTTTTCGATGGAAGAAAGAAAAAAAAATGAACAACCAAGAAGAACAAACATGAATCAAACTGAAGTGCACTAAAAATCTAATATTCTAATTTTTCACTCTTTTTTTTCTTCTCTTGTTATGATAAAATCGTTAAAAGAGAACACATGGAACCAATCAAGTGTGAATCACAATACATTTTTAAATGAAAAAAAAAATTTTAATGTGAAAAATTGTAACAAAAAATATCAATTTAAAACACACACAAAAAAACAAGAAACAACCGCTTGAATCAAATATCCAGTGTAAATCTAATAAGATGATAATCATAAATCTAACAGCAACAACAACAACAGAAGAAAGATACAACAAAATATTAACTAATCTATCAGCCATAAAATGAGTATTTTTCTCAATTTAATATCGCAAAGAAACAAACAACAACTGAAGAAAAAAAATATTAAAAAAACCAACATTTCTCTTTACTTTTTATTAAATATATCCAGCATGATTATTCTTAATGATTTTCCTTCCCCTTTTTTTTGTATTTATGTATTAGTTTGGTATGAGAAAGAAAATAAAATTAAATGGCGAAATAAAATTAGAAAATGGCAAACCAACCGAAGAAAAAAAAAACACACACAAATTTGTTATGTGAATGGCATGTTTTTGCGATTGTTACTTTTAAAACAAAAACACAACTTTAAAGTCCTAAATGTCGCAACGAACAAACAGAAGAACAAGAAAAAAAGAATAAAAAACACAATGAGTTTGAATCTATCAAAGAAGCATTAAGTTCGCTTCGGTGCTGCTCGATATTTTGAGATAAGCATCGGTCAAATCACACTCGAAACTATGAAGAATATTATAATAAGCAAAAAGAGAAAATCCCGATTTTTTAAGCTTTTTTCGTCATGACAGTGATGTGAGATTGTGTGTAAAAAAAAACAAATCCAAGAACTCTGAATGGAGAGAATAAACTAAAAAGTTGTTTTAGAGAACGTGAAACTCGTGTCTTTTTTTTGTTTTTGTTTTTTTTTTTTTCATTTTTTTTCAATTTATTTCTCTTTATTTCATGTTTAGTTTCTAGCTCTAAAGGCGATTTGAATATTTTTCTTTAGATCAATTTAAAAAAATCGAACATTTTTCTCTTGAATTTGTGGCTCTTTATGCGTTCCATCGCAGAATGGACGATGCTTCGTTTGTCGGCACATGCAAATCCAATAGTCACCGTCTTTTTCCACTTCGAATTGAATGGGTCTAGAAAAAAAGAGTGAATCGGATTTGTAGTTAGTTAACATCAAATCAGCAGCACATCGTTTAAACCACAAGGTGAGTTTGATACGTTACTTTTCCTTAATTTTATAATGGACATATTTATGTGTTCCATCACATAATGGCTGTGATTTTGATTGTCCGCACAGGCACCACGAGTACTTTTTGCCTGAAAATACAATTTCATTTATTATTTTCTCACATAAAAACCTTCGTCGAATTGTATTCAAAGAACTGTCACGATTGTCGAACCTGCTTTCAGCGCAATTTTAAATGGTTTATTGTCAACAATGGGACCATTTGGCTGTCGTTCGATTGCCTGGAATTTTCCCTCTAATAAATTCTTTGGTATAACTTTTTCTGCATCCTTTTTTGATGATGAATAGTTGCGCAACTGAAAGGAAACACGAATCATACGACAAATAACAACGATCAATTCCATTGAACTTAACCTTAAATCAACGATTTAGTTTTTCTTCTAAATTCAATTGCAAATGTTTACCAGGGAAATGGTGGGTAATCGATTGAGTTGTTGAATTCGCAACATTTTCCGATTCTCTCTCTCTCTCTCTCTCTCTCTCTCTCTCTCTGTGTGTGTGTGTGTGTAATTCGGTGCCTATGGTATCGATTCGCAAATTATTAACAATTATTTACAACACATAACGTAAGTATGAAAAATGAAAATAACTCAATTTTGTGTGCTGAGCGAATGAGAGACACCGATGAAATGTCAAAGTGGATAATGTGAACGGCAGAGGGCGACATCTGTTAGAAGCCATTAACAAATGAATAGAAATACAAATTGAATGTAATGTTGTAGATTGAATGTGGATTTTATTGAGAATTAAATGGTTGTGTGTGTTTTTAATTTTTAATTATCATCACTGTTTGCATCACATGAAGCCAATGGCGAGACACTTGACGCTATCGAACTGTTTGACGATGGTTCACCGTCGATGTCGGACTCTTCGTCGGAGGCCAAATGTGTTCGTGGATTGTGTCGATTCGTGCGATAGTATGCGGCATTGCTTCGAAGTTGGCCGTGCTTTTTGAAATAATCATATTCATTTTCCTCATCTTCGCTCTCATCCATGAAATGCACGACCGGATCATCCACATAGTTGCGTTCATCATCATCGTCGGACGATAGATTGTCGGCATCACTGTCAAAATTCAGATCTTCAACGGCTCGTCGCATGTCTTCTTCGCCAATGCTATGGCCATCATCTGTGTCGGGATATTCGTTGCGCCAGTGGGCTTCATCGTTTGAATCTTCCGAATCCAAGTCGCTGTCATTGAGTGTGTCATCGTTTGCTTGATAGACAAGGTCATCAAAAGGCCGAATGGTGTAGTTACTTATATCGATTTCAGTTGGTTGTTCACCGCTCTGTACTAAATACAAATCGTAAACGAATTTGCTATCACTTTGATCGACGGTAGTTGTGCTGGCACCCGATTGATTTGGCTCTGGCGGCGACGACGTTTGTGTCTGATCTTCTTTGATTACATCAACAATGGTAACGTTCTGTGTTGTACTACTACCTTCGGCCGTTTCATTCAAACCGATTGTATCGTCGATGGATCGAAAGCAATTGACCACTTTGAATCGTTGATTTTGCGCGTCATCCTTGAATTGTTCACGCAATTTATTGATGACACGGTCGGGTTTTCGCACTTTACGCACAATTTCTTCAGCCTCAGTTTTTCGCAATTTCGTCAAATGTGCCCGTAAATCATCCTCAGCACTAACGGTAGCCGCAAGTTTTAATATGGTTTTGGTGTCGTTCGTTGATTCGACAGCATCGGCTGTGGTGGTGGCGACGGCGATCGCATCAGTTGGATCACTTAGTAAATTATGGCTGGTTTTCAAACGTTTACAATTCAAAACGAATTTGTCGAATGGTTCGTCGGTTATGCGACGCTTTACACGAACAACGGCCGAAGTCATTGCCTCACAATTTAATATACAATTACGTTTCCACTCGTTCGATTTCTCGTTACCTCGGTACGGTTACAGAGCTAGTGGTGCTTTGGTTTGATTTTTTAAGTAGACGCTGTACTGTCATTCTGTATTTGACAGAAAGTGCATTGCTTCACAGGCAATGAATCCAACGCATTCCAACGCACCAAACGCTTGCCGCACTCTGTGTGTGTTGTTGTTGTTGTTGTTTTAATGGATGCCAGTGTACGAATGCGAACAACATATATACATATATATAAACAATAAACCATTTTTCAGCTTGATGGCAAAACACACAGAACGCAAAACGTATACACCAACCAACGATTGTGTGAACTGTCAAAAACGACAACACACATATCAATCAATCGTGTGCAAATAACATCTTCGGACGCATCATTTTCGGCTGTTTTCAATTGCAATCCAGATCACAAGTAAACGACGACAACGTCGAGCAACAATCAATAAATAGAAAATAACCATCGGATTGATTGTATCAAGTAGAAAAAACGACAAAGCCACACACTTTGCACATTCTTTCATTCATCATTCAATTCAATTTAATATCATCAACACTTGAATTCATCTGGTTTTGTTGTTGTTTAAAATTGATTTGCATTTGTGTGCGTTGTTGTGTTTCTCCCTATGAGCTTCAAGTAATAGATGAACAAAACATATATTATTACATTGAGAAAGTATTGAAAAAGAATAAATTCTCGTGAATCAAATGGTTTTTGTTCCATTTAATTTTGCATTTTTTGTTGTGGTTGCGGGCACTTGACTGAGAACAAATATACAAACAAAATTTTTTTTTTTTTTTGACACAAGCGACTGATAAAAAATAAGCCCACATTTTTAATCATGTAATGGTAAGTATAATTGAGTCGTGTCCACTGCATTAAAATATTTAACACAATTCGTACACTTTGCAACTTCTGATTTGTCTTCATATAAATTCGTATCAATATATTTTTTCGTATCATTGTTTTCGTCTCCGGTTCCATGTAGATTGCATCATTTACATATTCTGAGTATCAACACTGCATTTTGTCATTGATGAATGATAAACATATGAAAAATCGCATAAAATTTGTTTGACGAAAAAACGGCAACACTTTGTTTTGTTCTGTTATTGTAACGGGTAAGTATAACTCTTTTTTCTGTGCTGTTGCTGTGTGTTTCGTTTAATAAATTCCAATTTGAAAAAAAAAAAATACAGAGAGAATTTGAGATCATGTTTTTGATAAGAAAACAATTCCGTATTTCCCAAAATTGACGTACACTTTGAAAATAATGTTTCAATAATGTGCTGTTTCGAGTGTTTTTCTGCTGCTGCTGCTGCTGCTGCTGCCCATGTGTGTGTTTTTTCTCGCCAAAATGTTTCGACAAATGAATATTTATTGGAATTGCTTGAGTGATAAAATGCTTCAATTTAAAATTGGAACGATTCGTGTGGCGCTCATCAACCAGTTTTGTGTTGTGTTTAGGAAGCAGGCGAACAATTTCTAATATGAGTATACCACGAGTAGTTTTTTGAGTTCATTCCATTGGATTTAGTAGAAAAAAGAACCACGCGGCGTCGACTGAATGAAGCGACAAAGATACAAGTGGCTGATGGCAAATATTTTGTGAAATGGTTATTGCTATGACAAGTGTAACTCTGCCGCAATCGTAATCACTTTCAATGCAATGAGGCTGGAGCAATGTGTGTTAGGAAGCAAAAAAGAGATCTTCTTATTTATACCACACGAAACTTATTTCTTCTACAATGCAAACAGAAGTTGTGTTCAGCGACAGTAGCTTTGTATTTAGCCCAAGCAAGCTTTGTGTTTAACAATATGAACAACGAAGTGAGATGGCGCTTCCGCCGCAAATAAATGCCAAATTCATTGTGATCTGTGCCGAATATATACCAAACTCGCACCTCATACAACGCAAATCAGGAAACTTTGATCATGAAATCATTGCCGATTTATCCGAATATTATCGTCTTTACGTGAGTCATAAATCCGGTCTAAGGCAAAGCAATAATTGTTCCATCAGCCATCATTTATACACGCAAATCATTCGCCAATGTGATTCGATAAGTGAATTATTTTATTGCTGCCTTGGAATGGCATACACTCACTTCACGATCGCTAAAAATGAACACAACACAAAAGAAAAAAGTATTTGCGTTTCATGGTCTACGTGACAAATGCAAAGGAGTAAATTGTAAAAGAGTTTGTGTCAGGACAAAACACAAGCCATTAAAAACTTTGATGTATATTGCTTTGAAAGTAGTCAATTGAACCAAAAACCGAACATCTCACGCAAAACGTGTGCAGCTCCAAAAACAACGTGGTTGTGAAGAGTATTTTTGCACATCTATTGACTATCAGTTAAAGCAAAATTTATTACACATCAAGTTAATGTCTTTGCAAATGGATTTTAATCTTGTGTTGATTATTGATATACGATACAACACACATAAAGATATCATCTAGTTCCATACAACCAACTTCGAATGAAGAATCAGAATTGGCATCTTTTAACGGTTTTCATTAATTATGCATTGCGAATAAAATTCAATGTGTAAAAACAAAGACAACAATTGTAAATTACCTCGTGTGTTGGTGATGAAATTGAGCAATGATGATTTGATTAGACTACACTATATACTCCATATAAAGGTCTACCGACACTTTAGTATTCTCTCAGACGTGTCTTAGCCATGGTACTGAAGTTAAACAAGATTGTAGCAGGCAAACGGTCCAATTTTTACAGTAGATTAATAAGAAACCTGGTGAATTGTGTTTCCTGATAAATCGATCCATTGATAGTACCGAGTATTGTGTAACGAATAAATATTTAACGATAATAATTAGAATTGCGGTGGAAGAAAAAAAAGAAGTACATAAATTTAAACTGAAACAAAAAGTTCCAAGTACTTTATTCTCACGCCTTTTTCCATCCATAAATCAAGTGACAAACCCATTGTTTTATGATATGTAAGTTAGCTTGTGAATGAATGCGGAACAGTGATAACAGCAAAAACAAATGAAACTGAAAACCGAGCAAAACAAAAACAAATTCCGTTTTTGACAACACAAAGTGTACGATTTGTATTTTTGGTTTTATGAACTGTTCAACATTGTAATCCAGTTAAATACTCGTTGACTAATGAGTTTGTTTTTATGTTTCTTGTCTCTTTCTCATTCAGTTTCCGTTGATTGAAGTCCGTGGGCATTTGTTCTTCTTCTACACGTCAGTCAAGCGATTTCAAAACCATTTTATTGATCTAATTGCAATCGAAAGTCGCGAGTGGTGTCGATCACACTCGCAAATAGAACAATGATTCAGGGGTACGGCCCAGTAACACAAGCACTTTTAGGCACACTTTTAACATGGGGTCTAACGGCGTTTGGCTCTGCCATGGTGATATTTCTACGTGGTAACCAGGTAAGTCAACCCAAACACTTTGAATCGATTCTTCTTTTTCTGTTCAAGATCCATTCAAAATGCTTTTGTGTTAAACTCATGTGCGTCGCCCTTCCTTCCTTGCGAAGCGAATGGAATTATTATCTGTTTCTTTGAAACTGTTTATTTTCCTCTCGTGCACGGTCATTGTGATTTAGATACTTATGCAAACAATACAATGTGTATATTTATTTGGTGTTTTATTTAAATTCGGCAGCGTAAATCGTTGGATATTGCGCTCGGTTTTGCGGCTGGCGTGATGATTGCCGCTTCGTTTTGGTCGTTGTTAGCTCCAGCCATTGAACTTGCCGTCAAATCACAAACGTATGGAGCAAATGGCGAATACGCATTCATACCCGTAGCCGGTGGATTTCTATTAGGCTCTATTTTTGTATTTGCAACCGACAAAGTTATTTCATATTTAGGAATTAATAGCCCACACATGATGATTGGTAAGCAATTGGAATTATTTTCAAATGATTTTTTATTCAGTTCGATTTTACGTTTTTACAAATTTAATTTCTTTAGTTTGTTTGCATCGTATTCAATGTGTTTTTGCACATGTTCCATTGATATGATAAACAAGCGTTGATATCTTTACGAATGTCTGAATCAATAAAAAAAAAATGTCTGTTTTCTCGTTTTTCTACCTTGCAGCACTCACGCATACAAATAAGGACAAAGCTGATATCGCACTAGACGATGCCGAGAATAATGCACACTTTGCCAAGAAGACACAATATGGTACGATACAAAAGCAATGGATAATTTGTTGATTGTGTGTGTTTTAAGTAATGATTTTGTTTTTCGATCATACACAGTTCGCACAATAGATGATCAATGCACAACGATAGGTTTGGATAGTTTTACCGACTGCTTGAATCAACAGCATTCCAATTTGGTGACCTCACGTCGACGCACTGTGAAGAGTTCATCGGAGAGTCATAACAGCGAAATCTATACGGCAAGTCAGCAAGCGATCAACCAAGCGAGCGCATTGTCACAATGGAAACGAATTATGCTACTGGTAGGAATCGAAATCGAAATCGAAATTCATGTTTCCTTCTTCCTTTGATCCATTCCACTTGAATTCCATTCAAGCGCATACCAATCAATCAGTCTGATTCAATTCAAATGTCTATGCTTACTTGACAATTTCAACAGGTCATTGCCATTACGGTGCACAATATCCCCGAAGGATTAGCGGTTGGAGTGAGCTTTGGTGCTATTGGAAATACTGATTCGGCTACATTTGAGGCCGCTCGAAATTTAGCCATTGGAATTGGTATACAAAATTTCCCAGAGGGATTGGCTGTGAGTTTGCCGTTACATGCAGCTGGATTTAGCATGTGCCGTGCATTTTGGTATGGTCAACTATCTGGCATGGTTGAGCCAATATTCGGTATACTTGGCGCTGTGGCGGTGACAGTTGCATCAACTATTCTGCCGTATGCATTGTCATTTGCAGCCGGTGCCATGATTTATATTGTTGCGGACGATATCCTCCCCGAAGCACATACAAGGTATGAATGGGAACAAAATTTAAATTTTTCCTTTAAAAAATTCAGTCTTGACACACTTATCGTTTGTTCGTTGTATTTCTTTCAGTGGAAATGGATTGCTAGCGACCTGGGGTACAGTTGTCGGATTTATTGTCATGATGTGCCTTGATGTAGGCTTGGGATAATAAAAACACCAATTTTTATCAAAATAGACATCGTTCCAATATGTTCGGAATATATGTATTTCTGTGCAAGAACAAAAACAAAACTTATGCATTCGCTGCATATAAAATTCAGTTTGAAAAGAAAAAATTAAAATGAAAATAATACAAAAATCGACATTAGGATCATTGTTAATTTCTATTTTGTAGCTAGTTCAAAAAAATGTAATTGTTGACGAAAAGAAAGAGATATGTCATAATCGTACTTAGTTTTCTTTGTGTTTTCTTCAATCAATGTAACATATTCCAGACGAATGAGATCACTTATTATTGTTTATAAGAACCTCACTTCAATTTGAAGAATTGAAAAAAAAGCAACAGGAAATAAAAACAAGATTAATATTGTAATATAGCGTAATAGTTGAGAAAAAAAGGGAGAGAAAATAAAATATAATTTTTTTCATTTATTTTGCGTCATTTCATCGTGAACCCTTTGATTCATGGCTGGTGGCGATGAATAATCGTGAAACTACTCAAAGTATTCCGTCGATTATCACAGCATATTAAGGGTTGAAACGAAAACTACGATCAATGGTTGATTTATTTGTATAGAACGATACCATGAATCACAAACAAACTTCGCTTAATTCTAGCGCAAAACTATCATTCGATTGAAAATGAAACGAGGCATTTGTATACCAAAATGAGACATTTAACGGATGAAGTTGTTGTTTGAGGTAATTTGAGTGAAAGAAAAAAAGAAATTAGCTGTTCGAAATGTGCAAAAAATGGATTGATAGCTCATCGGGGTGAACTATAGTTGAAATGTGACAAAATGTCGATCTAAACCACGGTGATAGGCATTTGTGGTTTTATAACGATTGCATCGTCATACTTTGGTGGTGGTTGGTCATCAATGCAAAACTCAACAAATCCAATATCGTTGTGATCATTAATCGATCGTGATGAACCCGATGCGGATGCAATCGCAAATACTGGAGGCATATCGTCATCGGTTTTATTCCCGCGTGTAGCTGAAACAAATGGATTATTTCATTTTAAAATTGATTTCATTGAAAATTAGAAAAAAAATTTCTTTGGAGCACAAAGTATAGCGCACAAAGCCTAAATAACAACAAACAAGAAGCCTTCCAACAAACCTCTTTGATGTTGTGAAATTGGTTGTGTGGCTGAAACCGGAGGTTCTTCTGTCCGTGACGGCAAAGCCGATGAACAACAAAAATACTGATAAAATTGAAAGCACAGTTAGTCAGTACACGTCATGAACAAAAAAAAAACTCAATTCAGTTCGCACCAATATACAAATTCCAATCGTGACTAGAAGCATAAAAATGAGAAATTCCACTAAAATCATCTCGACCAAGAATTATGTCCACGAATTTTGACAAAAATCTAATGTTAAATCAAAAGCACATAGGTAAATGCAAAAAAAAAAGAATTTTCCAAATTCACGATCTTTGCACACAAACAAATCGAAATTCGGTGAAGACGAATGCTAGAAAATCAACGCAATAATCAATTGCCGTATATCGTTTGAAACGTCTGCCAGTGTGAAATTTAGCAATCGTTGAAATCGCATTACATTATGATTGTCGATCGTTTGGTGTGAGCAAAGAACATATTCGTACCAGAGAGAAAGAGAGAGAGAAAAAAATTGCGTCCACATTATCAGCAGGTAGATTACTAATAAGTGAAAGCAATCGAATCGCATTTATATCTATCTATCTCTCCATATATTACTATTGATTTAATTGGCTTTGAAATGCTCTGTGAATTGTACCCTTTGTACGCAAGGTTCTTTGGAAGAATTTACCTGGTTTGCACACAGATAAGAGCCGACAAAACAATTTCTGCTGTCGTTCTTAATCTAATTGTAACCGAGACAGCACTATAAATAGAAAAGTTGGCAAAGTGTAGTTGTGAGACATACCAAGTGATTAACAGGCAATTTCATCATTATCACACAAATCGATCGCGATATACAGATATATTGGACAAATTTCTATTGGATTTTATTGCGAAAACGAAAATCAATTTCCATTTAATAAACAACAATGTACTGTCATGCTTAAAATTATCGACACACACAGCGATTAAATGATTAGATAAAGTTATGAAACAGTTCGCTGTTTACATTTTACAAAATGTTCGTAGAATTGTTTCCCTTTATTTCTTTATTTCTTGACACACACGCAGAACTATCATTCCCGTGTGAATTGCCATATTTTTGAATTGGCTAAGACAGACATTCTGTTTACTTTCTTCCGCAAATTTTATTTCTTCTGTTCAACTCCAAACACATTTGATTACTCTGCAAGACAATCACCGCATATTTTTGAAGATCTTTGCATTCTTCTTCGTTCGGTTTGATATGATATGATATGAACTAATGATTCTTTCATAAGGTACGCGGTTTCGATTCAACATTAAAGAAGAAAAGGGAATACAAATTTGAAAGAAACTCCATTTGCCCACATTGGACTTTGCTTTAAATTTCTGGAGAGTCCTATTTCAACGCATTAAAAATAATTTTGAAATTTCAGAACGATCTTTAAGCTGTGAAGGAAGTTCTATTGCACTATGTGATCAAAAAACCATCCATTGAAATCTTCTTCGTGTATTCGATGCAAGGTGACACTTTTGGTCGAAATTCAAAAATCCCACAACAAAAAATATAACCCCGAATCCACAAGTTGCACACGAATCGCATCAATCTACTGTTTATCTCTGGCCATGATATTGTTTTATCAGTGAATCACATATTGAGACCAATTCAATTTGTTACGCCCACCATGGTAGTCGACGTCATCATCAACGCGGTGCTGTGTGTATGTGTGTGTGAGTGCGATGCAATGCAAGTTTGATTGCATCGGAAAGGAAAGTTGTAGGTGGTCTAATCCAATGAGATGGGCTCTCAGAAATTCGAGCGTAGCAAATGGAGCGGTCATCTGGGCTATGCTAATTCTATGGCTAATTAACTATCATTTACGGATATCTCATGAGAATAATTTCGTTCCATTTCATCAATTTATCACGATTTTTCTCGAATTCTCTCTCATTAGAGGGAGAAAGAACGGAAAACGGAGAGTTGAAGATTAGAAAAAACTGAGACGAAGAGAAAGTGAGCGCTCGCTTTGAAATAGATTGTAATCGACAAAAATTAAATGATTCGCATTCAAAAACATACTCTAAATTGTAGAGTGTTTCTGTTGTGGCAACAACAGCAGCAGCAGCAGCAGCAGCAGCAGGAATTCGTTGCATTTTCTATTGTACGCGATAGTTGTCTAGTTTGGATCCAGTTCAAACGCTTACCGCACGCGTGTGCTTTATTTTATTTTATTGTGCATTTCCTTAATTACGTATGTATCATTTCGATCAGTTAAATCGTTCTCATTTTGCTTTTCCACGCGCACACATCACACTGTTTAAGCAAAAGTATTGTAATTGGTAACATTTTGGGACCTCCCACAAAAAACGATTCGAGACCATTGAACATGGAACATGGAATATGATGGGCCAAATTTGGTACAATTTTCTTCGAAGAACAAGACGAATGATCGTTTCGTGATGAACATTTCAGACAAATAAGAACAACTTGGCCAAGACTTGGACTGGGCACTGAAAATGAGCCATACGAAAGTTGCGCCTGGTCCCATAGATTTCATTGGCACATAGTGTTGGCCTCCTATGTTGACCCAGTTTGAAGGGCAGGCAATAGCATCCAAGTAAGTGTGAAATTGTGTAAACGTGTCAAATCCAAATTTCAAGCTTCGGAAATGTTTTTCGTTTTTTTTTTTCACATTTCTTTTTTGCAAAAAATTTACTACCATGATTAAAAAACCTTATCAGAAAAAAATTAATTTTAAATTTCATTTTCCAACTGAGTGGTTAGGAACAAGCATCGGTTCGGATATAGAAATATGCAAGATAAATATACAAAGCATAGACGCGTACGGATGACCGTGCGACGAACGTATCAACGGGCGATCGTGCATTGTGAGACGCACGCGTAAGTGTGTGTATGAATACAGTGTATACTGTATATACTGCAAACAACGATGGCTCTGGTGATACGTTCGTCGCACGGTCGTTCGTATGCGTCTATGCTTTGCATATTTATACAGTATAGAACATCTAGGTAAACATATTTCTATGTCCGAACCGGTGCTTGGTTAGGAATAAAATTGACTAAAGTTGAATAATAAACAATATTCTGTATTTTTAAAAGTGCAACATAAATTCTCTTCGCTTGAAAGTGAATCGAAAAATATCTGTCGACTATAGAAGTCGTGTTTCACTTTAATTGAAAATTCGTTGGCTTGAATTCTTTTTTTATGCTCTTGTTACAGATGGCTCCACCGATTATGTTTTTTGAGACACGGGACGTTCCACCACAAATAATCCCACGTCAGCAAATTAGTGATTACATAGTTATTCAACATTTTGCGGTGGGCTCATTAGCTAACGGGGAATTGGTGTCTGTTCACTTTGGTTTGAGAGAAGGATACAACAACACACTTCGATTGATGATTGCAACCGAAATCAAAAATAGAGTTCAACCACCACCACCTCAACCACCATCTCCAGTACCATCACATCATTCTCACCGAAGTCAACGAGAATCTCGAAGTTCCGAACGTTCTCGGTCATCGCATGACCGAAGATCTCCAACATCATCACGGAAATCTCACCAAAGTCGACGAGAATCTCGAAATTCCGAACGTTCTCGGTCACCGCATGACCGAAGATCTGAATCCAATTCTTCTAGTGAACATACACCTATGAACGTATCTCTCCGAATTGTGACCATTCAAGCGGCACTCAACTTGGTTCAATCAGCCGAACAAGAAAGCGAACAGCTGCAACAGCGAATTAACACAATTCGACAAAACGTCTTTGCCGCACGCCGTTGACGCCGAAAACAACATTAACGTGGAACGTGTTGAATTGGATTTAATTCAAACTGATTTGGACCAACAGCAATTTCAATTGCAGCAGCAACAACAACAGCTGAACGATGAAAAAGATGTATTGCAGCAGGAAAAAAATAAGCAGGCTGAAATAAAGAAAAAAAACACGCTTGATAAATCAAATTTGATACGTGTGCATAAATCACTAACGTCGCAACAACAACTGGCTGATGCACAGAATGCATTGCAGCAGCAACAAAACTGATAGTTATCGAAACCTATTGCTACAAATTGTCTATTATTTGAAATATGTAACAGTCTTGCACTCTTTTCCTGCCAAACCTCAATCAAAACCCACATTATATTCAGCCAGAGCTTGGCGGTGTTTAATAAAATAAATAAATAAAATAAAAACAACAGGCCGAAGATCAGGTTGCATTGGACCGGCAACAACAACTGCTGTCGATCGTACACTTAGGAATCCTCATCCTAGGCACTTTTTTCGCTGATGGATTCGTTTATTTCGTCGCATACTTTCGCGTTCCTGTCTCTATCCCAAAATCCGACTTGGTTTTTCTTCTATATTTTTGAGTTGAAATATTTTTTCAACTTGATCCATTGTTTCGAAGAGAATTGTGATTATTTCGATCGTACACTTAGAAATCCACATCCTAGGCAGTTTTTTCGTCCATGGATTCGTTTATTTCGACGCACACTTTCGCCTTCCTGTCTCTATCCCAAAATCCGACTTGGTTTTAGTTCTATATTTTTGAGTTGAAATATTTTTTCAACTTCATCCATTGTTTCGAAGAGAATTGTGATTATGTCGATCGTACACTTAGGAATCCTCATCCTAGGCAGTTTTTTCGCTGATGGATTCGTTTATTTGGTCGCATACTTTCGCGTTCCTGTCTCTATCCCAAATGGATAATTGATCAATGGATTTTGATTTACACGATAGCAAAAAAGAATTTTTTTATGGTGAACAAACCACATGGGAAGGAACGAGAACAATTCACTTCATTGGCACGGAATGTCAAATGTCATGTCTATTAATTTCAAATCAATGTCGTTAGAATATTTCTTCTGTTTTAGTTTTCGGCTATATCTGGGATTCTAGCCATGAGCATGCTCATCAATAGGATAGGATATTTTCAGTTTGTGGGATAATTCAAACGATCATTGTGGACAAACACATTGGAAAATTTCGTCTTACATTTGTAAGCCATTTTATTTGCTTTTTCATTCAGCATCAGATTCTGAATCTCATTCGGATGGTGAACAATTGAAAATTTTTGTAACCCAATTTGGCAACGCTCAATGGATATTTGCAAATTTTGCCATTTTATTAACCGATGGATAAGAAGATAAAATTTTTCCTATTTTCCAAACTCCACTTAATGAGTCGCTAAGACATAAAGATTGAAAGAGTGATCCGTTGAGAAGTAATATTTTGCTAAAGAAGAAACAAAGTCAAACGATTACTTACAGAAAAAAGCATTTAGTTCAAAAAAAAAGAGCGATCAATTGAAAGAGAAAACCGTTGCTGTACCAAGTGAAACCCACGCAATGGAATTGCATCTATGCCGGACCGAAGCACTTCTAATAATTTGCGGTCTTTAGAGAAGTAAGAACAACATTTCATCGTCAATAATTGAAACATCAAATTCAATCTAAAAATAACGTCAACATTCGCTGTCATTTCTCTGCGTTGGTTTTTGTTGCATAATGCATTCGGCCGGTCGGTCGATCGTCGTTCAGCTCAGATCCATCTTGTCTTGGTGTCGGTTGAAATGCCAATTTCGGCCGCACCATCGCCAGTCGCAATTTAGCATCGTCTATTCTGAGCGTGGTTCTATTTTCAAGGTTATATTTGTTTATCGCTCCGATTTGTATTATTATTATCATGTTGCAGATGGTTGAGGCAATCAGTTCGCCAGCAACTCGGACTGTGGATTAAAATAATGGGGCAATTAAATGGCAACGAGCTGAATTGGCGATTATAAAGACCAGCATTTATTTTGAACGGTTATGGGCGCATTAAAAATGTGCGATACAACAACAACCGCAATAATAAAACAAAACAAATTCCGCCAAACGTCGCATTTAGAAAATGCATGGCAAATGCCGTGAATGCGAGATAGTGCTCACAATTTCGCGCGCCATATTCAATTCATAGGGAAAAACGGTCGGTTTTTTTTCTTTCAATTTTACCCAACTACATTTGTTGTTGTTGTTGTTTTTACATGCTATGCACAGCTCAATGTAGCGCAAAAATTGTGCCATTTCTTGCAATTATGCGATTAGTATACTAGTTGCGGAAAGCGCGCACCTCATTTCGACGGGCCAATGGGAATGTTGCAGCAAAATGAAGACACAAATCCGCAGTTTTAATGCACACTCAGGGCAAATTAAACAGTTTCAATCTGCATCGATCCAAAAGAAAATGGAAATAGAAATAAAACGCACGCTGAATTTTTTGTTGTTGTTGTTTAAATGAATAAAGAATAAAATTTATTTGTTTAGATTGTTTAGAAGCAAGTTTACACAGGACGTTCTTTTTCTGTTGTTGCTATATATTCATAATCGGTTTCTGTGTGGTTGGTTTGTGTTACAATGAACCAAATGCATTTCAGAGTTTTTTTTTTTTTTTGGTTTTGTTTTTTTCATTGGTGAATGATTAAATACCGTACACTGAAGCAAAAAGGAAACGCCACTATTTTTGTTGTTATTATTCACGTGTTGTTTGGTTTGCTATAATTTTTTTTTATCTATTCAGTTAATTTTGATGGAGTGTCTTATTCATGAGCTTTTCACAATGTGTCAGCCATTTTTTTTTTGATGCGATTAAATTCTTATTGATTTTGGTTGCCGTTTCAAAAGATGTACTGATTAATTTTTGTTAATGCTAAGTAAAATGCTAAGCTTCAAAATCTTATTTAATCAAATACCATTTTCTATGCGGTTTTTTTGGTTGCTTCTTCTTTTTTGTTTTTAAATATATATAGAGAGATGGTGTATATGTTTTTGTTGTTGTTTTTTTTTAATTATATGGCTTTCTTTCGTGGGTTTTGCAAAACAAGCCGATTTCCATGTTTCCATTAAATCTAAGCCATTTATTGTGTTTTTTTCTTGTGTGAAATCCATCATTTTCGAGTTTCTTCTGAAAGACTTTACTCATTTCGATATTGTCATGACTCGCATCACCCACCATTTTTCTTTTGCTACATATCTAAATATTTTATGTGTAAATATGAAAAAAATGTGTTTTCCTTCGTTTGAATTTTTTGGGTTGTATTCTGGATTGAGGTATACTTTACCGAAAGGTGATATTCAGAAAATATAGTTCATTCTTTATTGTTCACTTCTTTACTTTCAACAATGGTTTTGTTTTGAACGGACATTTTTTTTTGATATCATCATATTTGTATGAAAGCAATTAGCATTCGGTTTGATTTTCATTCTCTGTGTGTTTTGTTCATAAAATTTCGAGATGGAATATTGCTCCAACTAGCATATTGAAATGTGGAAATTGCGTGAAAGGATTGAAAATGGGGCAGGGCGAGGATGAGGATTGGTCAAGATTATTTGAATTGGGGCTGTTGTTTTGTTTTCATTTCATCTGCGTTTGTAGACATTCGTTTGTGAATCGGAAATTGGAGAAATAGGTCATACGGTTTTCACACATATTTCAGGAGAAAAAACCCTAAAGGCTTCGGTTGTTGTTTTTTTTTCTTTTTAGATTTTAATTTTGGTGTTTTCACTACGTTAAAATCTAACAAATACAAAAATAGATCTCTTTTGCACTTGATCACTTGTCTCTTTATCCTCTATTTATTTACTACTTTGTTGTTGTTGTTATTACGGTATTTTATGGGTTGTTGAAATAGATCCAATTCCACGGTTTTATCATTTGCTTTGCCATTCAACGCCATTGTGTATGCATTTTTTGTGCCATTTGCATTTTGCATTGTTCTTTTCCCATTCGTTTGCCATTTTTTTTCCATTTTCCTTTTGTTTTACTTTATTCATTACAGAAAAGCTTTTCGTTCTTTTGCCGCAGTTTCTTCTTATATTTCCAAACAAAAAAAGGGTCATTTTATTTTGTCAATTTCCATTTTGTTTGCATATATTTTCAAGCGATTTTTTTTACATTTCATTATACCATTCTTATAAAAGAAACCATTTCAAAATAACCCGAACAAAGTGAATTGATTTCAAGACATTTTACATTTATACTGATCATAAATAGTAACTAATTACAGTATAAGTGTGCCAATAATCGTAATTTATTGCAAAATACATTCAAGTGAATGCATCATTTGAAAATGCTTTGGCCAATTTTTCTATCTCTGTACAAATTTTATGATCGATAGAATTAGAGAAAAAAAAACACTAATAAAGTCGAGAAAAGAAACAATCAAAATTGAAAATCTACAAAATACAGCTCATGAGCTCAAAATGCAACAACACCAATAATAAACGGAGAACAAAATAGAAAAAAAATGATTTGTGCGAAAATTTGTGAATTATTCTAGTGTTGGTAATTAAAATTAATAATGTTGTTTTACGAGTTTTCTCGCACATTCCTCAGCTTACGCACAGAAGAAAGAAAAAAACCACCAAGTGTTCGTTTATCTGATTCTATCTGTAGACTGGTGAAATAAGAACAAGAACAAGAAGAAGGCGAAAAAAAATGGAGGCAAAAACCCAATGTCTGATCCGGAGCAAAGCTTAAATTGCTGTTAAATTCTGTGCACTGAAATATCATCACCTTCAGAAACAATTATGTTCCGTTCTGGGTCTGCGTTCTGGCAGCCCACTCGTCAATGGATGTGCATTTCATAATTATGTATTCCATTCCAACCGAATGATAAAAATGTAACCGCATCTCGAAAACATATGATGCAAAAGATGCACAGCCCGATAACAACAATGCGAGAGCTAAGGGCATGCTGCCGAAAGAAATGTGATATGTGGCTGCTTTTATGCAATTATCTCTGTTGTGCATGTTATATTATTTGATCTGTGCATTGTTTGAGAGATTCAGCCGGGCTACATTGGCCATAAGTAATGTCAATTCGTTTCAATTAAAATGAATTAAAAACACACCGAAGAGTTAGTGGAGCGCGCGCATTGTACATACATATCAATTTCATGTCATTTTTTTTCTTCTGTTGTTGTTTTGTTTTATTCCTCCATTCGATCTGACTTCATCTCCATATAAATCCGACCGAAACAAACACACACACACACACACACACACACACGAACGCTACCTCGGCGCACATTGAGTTGTGTTTTTAGTTGAGAGAGAGAGAAACAAAAGCATCGCTCATCCAAAGTAATAATGCGAAGAACTATCAAGAGTAGATAACAACACACAGAGCGCATAAATCAACTAAATATGTAATTGGTCGGAAATATCAGATTATCTACGAAAGAAGGCGAACCATGCCATCTGAAATCCCATAAAGTGCTTACTATTAGCGCAACAGCAAAACTACGTCGTTCTTCTTTCGAGAACATTCGGTTGGTTTTTTTTCTTTACTTGTTAGGTGAAGAGAGGTAGGTAGCTCTGGCAAAACATTGGGATTGTGCTCAATTTTCTCTTTTCAACGAGAATTGCCATGGTTTTTCCATGAATTTGGTCTTTACATATTCAAACTGATCTTCAGTTTAGATCTGCGTACAAGATTCTTGTCTTCAGACGATTGCAATTTGAACCATTTGTACGTATCAGATCGTCAATCATATGGTTTGGCTTATTTATTTTTGGGCTTTCATTCGCCAATGAAATTTATTCCCGCGCTCATATAAAACGTACGCATAATGCAGCTCCGGCTGAATACAATTCAGAGCTGATTAGAGAGAGAGAGAGAGAGAGAGAGAGAGAGAGAGAGAGAGATAGAGAGATAGATCAGTAACACAGCATTTGTATTGTAATTTTAAGATAAATCGATATCACTTACCTGCATCATATTATCTCCAGTCGACCGTTTGGACGGTCGGTTGGCCGTAGCAATAGCCATTGCATTTTCAAACATATCAAATAGAAGCGAAAAAATAACCAAATAGCACATTCAAGAATTTAAATAAGGCAAATGCTAATAAATTGGCTAAGCGGGAACAAAGAGTGACATGAGATTCGAGCAACGCTAAAGCATTTATCGGGCTAATTCTATTGGGCAATAGACAAAGAGAAGAAAAACGAAAACTAACGAGAAAAAAAAAATCGACAAAACAGAAAAAAACAAAACAACAATTGATTCGGGGAAGGCCAAATTACCATCAACTAAACGGAACAAAACAAAACAAAAAAACTGAAGTATATTTAGAGTTGTTGTATATTTTAAAATTAAAAAAAGCTACAATTATTACATATATAGATACAAATTAAAGTTACAAATTGTCATATTTAGTATTTGTCGTAACAATTGCTTCATCTGCATTATTCTGCGGTTCGTTCAATGTTGAATATTTATTGGTTGGCGGCTTGTATTCTCTTTCTTTTTTGCTTCACTTTCATTTCTAATCTATTTAAATATGATTCACTAAATATCTGTTGTATCGGGATTTTTTACAATATTTTTATTCTTCTGTTATTTGTTGCTATTTTGAATTTGTATTTAAAATACATTTTTTTTCTCTATTAATATGCGAACGTGTGTGTTACTGCTAAATGGGATGAGACAAAACAAAACAAAACAAAATAAAAATGAAACGGTTTCAATTGTAAATGTCCATTAAATCTGATTTGGGTCAATAAGTTAATCAATTTGCAATAAGTTAATATTGTTTCTGGTTTTGTACACACATGATTTTTCTTTTCTTCTTTTCAAAATTCTTTGTGCATCTTTTGTCGTTCGTTTGCATGTTCGTTTGGAATCACTCTCCCAGACCAATTGTCAATTGAATAAATTAAATGAATTTTTATATTAAACAAAATTCATAGATCGAAACAAACGAATAGAAAAGAAAAAATTGTTGCATTTTGCGCTCATTTCTTTTTTTTTTTTTTTCTTCATCATTTGAATCTATCATTTAAATCCCATATTACACTTATATTACAAACCTAATGCAAATTTTTATTTACACATTAAATTGTTGTTTCTGTTTTATTCCACTACTTCATTGTCATTTGTGCATAAATTGTGTTCGCTTTGTAATCAAGCAACAATTCATATCATGTCATTTTTCATTCGGCTTTGTTTTCTGTTTTCTGTTTTCAATTTCTTTCGCATTTCTCAACTTATCGTGGATTTATTCGCCATAAAATCTCACTCTGTCGTCATCATCATCAATTCATCAATGGTAATCGATCGTTAAATTTCCATTTTGCAATTTTCCATATTGTAATATCGCTTTGATATTGACGGCTATGAATGAGGTGTGTTTGTATGTGTGCATTTTGTGTGTGGGTGAATAAGCGTTGTGCTTGCGCCAATCGGTTCTCCATCTCATTTATTTCAAACTTAAATTTATTTTCATACATCCATGTTAAAATATTAAAATGTATAGAAATAATTAACAAAATCGAAATTTGCGCGAATGTTTTTTTCCTTCGTTTGCTCTCTCTCTCTCTCCTTAACTGATTGCATGATGTCGTATGATGAAGTCACGCTTCTTGCGAAATTATATTGAAACAATTTCTAAAATGTGTTCTTTGGGTGATGATAGAGAGAGAGCGAGAGAGTGAGAGCGAGAGCGAGTGATATTTGCTACTATGTTTGCTGTATGTGTGATTAGGTTTAACTGAATGATGTGCGCTTTGCATCTTTGTGTTTTGAGGCAATCGATTGGCTGAAGAATAATATAGTTCGATTGCGTTGCCTTGGCATTTATCGTGCTTGTTGATAAGCACTGATGTACGTTCGGTGTGAGTGTGTGTTTATAAACGAGAAGAGAGAATTATTTGATTTGTTTGCGCGCACGTGTTGTCATCAACGCAATATTTAATTCCATTTGATTCTATTGATAGATGAACATGAAAATGACGCAATAGATGATGTTCGCATGGAATTGCGTACATATCCATTAAATGTGTGCTTCGGTGTGTGCTGTATGTGTACCCATTTTGGAGGATGCATGGAATAGACACATTTAAACTAGACAAAAGAATTCATTGTGTGTTCGTCGTCATTTAGTGTTTTTTCTGCTTTCCAGCGACAATGAATCAAAATAACCTTCACATTTGAAATGATGAGGACTGTTATTGTTGTTACTGTTGGGGCTTCACAACACATAGATTAAACAACGCTAAACGATTTTCATTTTTTAATACTTTTTTTTCTTTCTTGTTGATGCTGTTTGTGTGAAGTCAACTTTAAATCAAGCCGACATTGACGTGCAACGTTTACAATTGCATTGCATCTAGCCAATCAGTTTGTTCTATGGTACACGCGTGTTTGCTTCACTTTTTTCGCTTTCGCCATCGGCCGCACAATGGAATATATCGTTTAGCATAGAAAAAAAAAACAGAACGATGATATACACACAAAGCTTTTTTTTCCTTCCAATTTTAAATATGGATTTTGTCTTTTTTTATAAACGAGAAATAGATAGAGAGAGAGAGAGTGATAGCTGGGGAGAAAGAGAGAGAGAGAGAGTGTTTGTGAGAGAAACAAGAAGTTTACAATAGGAACGTGCGCGCACACCAATGTTGACACTGATCCCAAGCACAATTTGCTTTGCAAAACAGCTCATATCATGAGTGTCACTCTCTGTGTATTTCTCTGTGTCTCTCTGTGTCACTCTCAATGACATGCTATTCCATTCGTATTCTCTATTGCCCAGACAATGATGACAAATGCTTTCTAGACTTTTAAAATATGTTGATGAAACACTAATCCATTTCTTTGAGAAATAGAAAAACAAAATGGGCGGCTATTGTTCATGCCCCAGTGAATCTAATGACAAAATGATAATGTGCCAGTAATGATGCATCGAAATGAATCGCATCAGGAGCAAAGCAACAGTAAAAACAAGCATCGACAGCCTTGCACTGTTATCACTTTCTTCTCCTCGGAATTGCCGTTGCATGCGATGTTTGTTTTCATTGCGACAACGTTATACAATTATACCGGTGATGGCCTTGTAATCTGATGACATTTCTCTCCATCTCTCTTTCTTCCTCGTTATTTTGTTCTGTTTTCTCGCCATATTCATCTATTCTACGAATGAAGCTTATCATTTCGTTGAAATTTTTTTCTGTCCTATAACATTTTACATACAACTAATGCTTGAGATACCGGCTAACAATTTTGTTTTGAACACACACATGGATCATTCATTAAAGCCAATTTAAAGGGAAAGAGAAAAAAAAATAACAGTTAAGCCATCAACTCAGGCATCTCAATTCGTGTTGTTTTTTTTCTTTCTTTCGTATGGAGACAGAGGAAAAAATGCCCACACTTTACAATGAGACAGAGAGCGTGTGGACAAATTGGATTACGACATTGTCGGTTAAATGTTATTACTCGTTCGTTTTTGTTTGTTTGTTTGTGCTCCAATAAAATAGGTCATTTTCAATATTCATCTAGCCTTTTAAAATTTAAATCTCGGACAATTTGACACAATTTTGGTATGTTGCGGGTGCGCGACATATTTCATGTGTTGTTTGTGTATGTGCACTTGATTTAATTTGATTTTATGTATTTCTTTTTTGTTTCTTCATTATTATTATTCCTTTTCTTTCTTTCTTTCGTTCTTTATAAATTTCTAGTTGGATGTTGTCTGGGTCAACCACATCATACATATTTCTTAAATAAAAGATGTCTAAACATTTTTTTCCTTTTCTTGCCAGAAAAACCACCACAATTTTTAATGGCAAAATCAAATACTCTGCGGGGAGATAGTCCAATTGCTAAATAATTTGCTTTACTTACTTTAAACATTGTATTTGTGTCGGATACAAAAGAATAGCGCCACAAAACCCATTGAAATCACAGACGATGCCCAACTATTACTGAATCGGCTAGCCGAATTCGTATCTCCGCCGTTTGCACTGTTACTGTTCGATTCGCTTTGCAGCTTGTATTTGGCTTCAGTAGCAGCGTCTGGTGCATCTTCTGGAATATCGTTGTTATCAATGAAATTGCCACGATTTGCCAACGATGGATTCTTATTTTTGTTGGTCGTACTCGACGCTTCGGTGGTGGTGGTCGTGGTTGTTGTTGTCGTCGTCGTCGTGGTGGTTGTTGTTGTTGGTACCAATGTTGAATTGTGTTGCCAGTATATTGGACCGTATTCAAAGTGCACATCCAACATATCTTGCATCCAGAACTGGGTGATATTTTGAGGAAAAAAAAAATTGGTCAGTCAAAGTATGAAATGGAAAAAGATATATGTATCGTCCCTTATAGATATCCTTTATTAAAAAAGAGCGAATAGTCACATTTTTGTTAAAATTCCAAAGGATATTATCAATTCTAATCGTTTTTGAAGAATATATCATCCAAAATATTGTAAAAAAAAATCAGAGCTGGAATATTTTCGCTGCTGAGCAGGCCCGAACTTGGCTAAATTTAATGACTCAGGTGTCTGAAATAACGTAAATTCTGCTTAGCAGCGAAAATATGCCAATCTCTAGCATAAAAATAATCGAAAAATTAATCATGGAAACAAAAAAATCGGAAAAACATAGCAGAAACATCGTAGAAGTTAATCGAAAATCACAACAACTTAATCTAAAGACGAGATTAAAGCATTAGATTTGAACATGATCATTTCATTCAGGGCAGAAATTAACAAACAAATCAACGCGAATGAAAGAAAAAAATACGAAGAAATGGAAAAAATAATAAAAAATTTCGAATTCCACTGAAATGTTCTTTTAAAAGCAATTTTCTGATTATTTGCCACACGAAAATTGTATTTCGATGAAGTTACGCAAGTAGGTAATTATCAGTTGGTGCAAATCACGCGACAGGTTGAACGCATAATTGGCATCGATTCTATTTATCTGATGCTTAGTTCGATTGGTTTTTATGAGGCGAAAATGTCTGTTTTATTTCTCTTGAAATTGCTCTACAATTATACATTACATTTGCATTTGTCTCTGTGTGTGTGTGATTCGTTTTTCGAACTTGCACGCATATTAAATGTGTGCTCTAAAAACAGTTCTATATTTTACTGTCGATGCCATTTGCACATTGACATGCATAAAAAGCGCATACACACATTCGAAACGATACTGAATGCATAAAATTGAGTGAGCAATCGTTTTTTGATTACAGATTGAAGCGTAGGCTTGTGCGAACATGCAAAACTCGGCCACCGACCGATCGTTTATTATTAATTACAACTTTTTCTATGCGAACATTTATTTGCCTTGTTGATTGCGACAGGCAACAATGTCTTACGCGCCGCTTTTATTGCACAGTAGCCAAAGAACATCGCGCAAACGGACAGAGAATCACATGCGATCGATCCGAAAGACAGCAAAGAGAATCCATTAAGAACACAGAATGGATCGGGACAAGTAGCAGCAGCAGTCGCAGCCGCAGCGGCAGGAAAAAAACACAAAGTAAATGTCGTCTCATTTATTTTGTAGCATGTATTTATGAAATTTATTTCCCATTCGGGATGCGATAGTTTGGCATTGTTCGTACAAGTTGTTGTTTGTTCGCTGTGTGCGCAATTTGTATGTAGCTCACCCAAATAAGGCTACTCGAATCATTGTTTTGTCGGTATCGGGTTTTGGTTTCTGTTTCATTTTTGGTGCATTCGGCTCGTCGTTCCGTTCTGTGTGCCCGTTGCCTCGTGGTGGTGATGCATTTTGGTAAACACACGCGCCCATTCCAATGAACCAATTCTGTAACGAGGCAACGTTGCGCACACGTTTAAATGCATTGTAAGTGTTTTTTTTCGCTTGTGTGCCGTTGACTCGTGCCATTTTAGACACTGAAATTTTCATAGAGAGAGAGAGAGAGAATGAGAGAAAAGCGACAACGACGTCGACGACGGTTAGAAAATGAAAATAAATCAACAAAATTGAAACCAACGCGCACACCCGAAAAGGGAAACCAATAACGAATATGCACCATGTAACTCCGGCAAATAAATGAAGATTGAATGAATAACTGCAATTTAAACGATTTCATTGCAAATGCGCTGAAAAACCGGGCGGCCAACAAAACACAGCACTTTGGTAACCCTATATATTAGCAACCGGAAAAATGAGCTCAGTTTTTGAGGACAATAAGCCGAACGCTTTTTCTAATCATATTATTCGTGTCGTGTTCACGTTAGATTTAGCTTTTGACTCGAGGCAGTCAGAACTCAAATGGCATTCATAGTGAAATATACGTTGTGTCGACACCAACAGCTCAATTAAAAATAAAAAACCTTGCATATGTTCTTTGGGACCAAACGGAAAACATTCCGAGAGCACTGTTTCGGTACAATAAAATCGATTTTATGGTCGTCGTCGTTTTCCGCTGAAGTTCAAGAAAATGAAAATCTAACGTATAAAATTTTGATTTATACGCTCAATAAATGGGATGTGGTCAAAAGTTCGGCTAAAAACACTGAATTACATAGAATTGTCCATGAATTCAGAGGTACTGTGAACAAAATAGCACATTCTGCAGTGACCGCGTTCATAAACGGCTAAAATAAATGTTTATCGGCATAAAATGCCTGCAATATGAACATCAAATGACCATTTCACATGTACAAATTTTATCGTCCCAAAAACACTATCTGGTTGAACAATATTTTTCAATTTCTATTGTTGTTGTTTTGTTCAAAGGATTCTAAAATGTTCCACGTTGAAAATGTGTTTTTTTCTACTTACGATTGCTTCAATGTCTCTGGTTTTTGGTTCGTCGCTGTCTGCATAGTATGACTTCAATTTTGCCTTGTACGGGCCTTCCGATTTCGTATAATTTCCGATTAATGTAACATTCATCGCTGTGCCCGGCTGTAAACTAGCGCTCACTTGCTTTATCTGTATGCATGGATTAGCATGCGGGTGCCAAAGAATGTTGAAACCGAGAGAAGAGAGAAAAAAACAAACAAATGGCAAAGTATTAATTGTTATTGTAGTTGATATTGCCTTCAGCTTTGTGTTAGCCAAAATGGATAAATCATTTTGCGCGCGATTTGTATTTGAGTTGTGCAAAAAAGAATGTGTGTATGCATACCTCGGTAGTTTTCTCAGTGTCTTCAAATCCCCAGCCTTTGGGCAATTTAACTGGTGATGATTTGGCGTTCTCATAGACTTCGGTTGGCAAACCTCGAGCAACAAATTCAACCGTTCCCCAGTAGATGCCTTTATTGAATTCATACGTGATGATTGATTCAATGGTGTTGGTGCCTTCGTCAGTGTTCGATAAAACAGCTGTGCCCAAAATCGTGACATTTGTTGTGATTTGAGTGCGCCACTTATCTTTTTTGATGTCACGCAACTCATAGCGAATTGGCTCAGCTTCCACTAGAATTTCACCATCTTCGTATTCCTGCAAATTCAACAAGATATTCAATATTAATGGAGGTAACTAAAACTAATCATTATTATGACTTTCTATTCGATTTAATTCTCGTAATTAGAATTCATTATCTAGATAAATGAACTGGCCTAAAATTATACCTTTTCAGCGCTGACCACCGGAACAATAACTTTGCCCAGGTTAAGTTTGGGGGCGAAGCGTCCAACATTATAATCAATGCCACCGTGATGATGGTGATGTTGCTCGTGTCCTCCTTCTGTATGAGCCTTTCGTCGAGCTACATAGTTATCTTCCACCTGTTAATGATATAATGAATGTAAATACATGGTCGCGATATCGAATTCAATTTGAACATTTATTATTTTCTTGTCGATCGTAATAAAGTTGCTGAAAAAACCAATAATTAAATAATTTTTAATATTTTGTATTTATTGAATGTTCCTTGAGCCAAAACCAATTACTTGGAAAATTAAAAGAAGTCGATATTACTTACATGACCATCGCTTGTGGCGCTAACCGCTCCAGTTGGAATGACTGCACTGTATTTGTTCCAGGGTTTCCATGTTAATTTCCCGCCATTGCCTTTGTTCAGCAACACTTCAAACGCATGATGCGAACGCACATCCGAATGCATCGATATAATGCAAACGGTACGTGAATCACGTTTCTGTGTGTGGCCCGTAACAGTGATGCCGTCGACAGTAGATCGACACACATAAATTGGATAATTCTCTTGTTCTGAATGATATTGGGCCGCTTCAACGGCAAACTCTAATTGCTTCTGATCGCCAGCAAAATATTGCCACCCCAATGTGTTGGATGTTACCAATTGGCCAACTGTATTGCTGTATATCAACACACTTTTGGTCGTCGCTTGGATTGCCACAAAGCAACACTGAATGATCAGTACAATGCCAATTGATATTGATAGCCTCATGTTTGTTTTGATTTTGTTTTTCTCTGTTGCTTTGTATTTGATTTTATGTGAATTTCTTCCACGAAATTGGTTCTTTTCTCAACCCGCCTCCGCCTCGGCCGGGCAATTTATAGCAGCCGTATGTGTTTGCCTATGCCTAGGCAATAACTGCGTTCTGAAACGAAATAAGAAGAGAAACGTTAATCCATTTACTAGACACGGCGCTTTTGTCTCGATTGAACTTTAAATGTGACCTTAAAACGTAATCGCTCGAACCAAAAAAAAAAATACGTTGATTTACGACGATTCATTCGCAAATGCAAAATGTATCTTATTAAGATGATTTACGTTCATCTGTGTCTATAATTGTTTGCATTATTTCTAGCTGGCAATCAGAGCCAAAGCAAAGGCAAATAGAATAAGAGTTAAGAGAAAAAAAAGAGCAGAAGAAGACAAATACTTGAAATAACATTCTCGTACGCGAAATTTTTCTAGTCAAACACAATTTTTGCTTCTTTGCAAAAACAAAACAGAAAACAAAACGCACAGTAAAAATAAGCACACAATTTTCCATACAAAAACATTCCATTCATTCAGAACGTAGACCCTCGCTACATACACATACGGTGTGTATTGTTCATGCTGATTTTCATTTCATTTATGCATATTTTGTGTCTGTGCATACGTATTTCGTTTCTAATAGAGTAGAGAAAAAAAAAGAGACGATTCGCTACATTTTAAATTACATACACTCCAAAACCGTTATTCCATAGCTTAATGAATACGTTCTTCTTCTCTTCTCTCGGCTTTTTTAAATTTCTGTTTGAGACGAATAAATTTCTACTCCATTGTTCAATTCCAATGATTTTCTAGATAACTTCACTGCTCGTTACGTAATGCTAGCTAGCGCACGGTAGCAATCATTTAAAGATAATGAACACATTCCCATCGAAAATGAAATCAACAAAATCCACCGAAAAATAGACAACACAATATGGCTTGTTTATTTTGCTGCTTTGCTTCGTGCTCGTCAATCACTTTTTCTTTGCTATTGTGGAAAAACAAACAATAGAATGCCTTTTTTTGTTCATTTGTTAGTTTGTTTTTTTCTTCTATTCACAATGTAATATTCGACAATTATATTCGGTCGCCCCAAATTGAAAAGAGATGGAAATTTCGATTTGACCGTTGGAAAAGCTCTCGATTGAATTGTATAGAAATTTTATCGGTTTTATTGAATTGTTCCGAGTGTGGGCAGAGAGAGAGAGAGAGAGAGAGCGCTCACCCAGGAGATTGATTTCAGATCACATAGAATGTGACATGAAAACGAATCGTTGAAATGGAAATGCAGCACAATTCTGAAACAGAAAAATAAAATCGCACCGTGATCAAGTGATTATGATATATTAATTAATGTATGTGCTATTCCTCGATGCATGGCACACATTTTCGGCGACCATTTTTAACGATCATTTCGAATGTCCGCAGCCGATTCACACTGCGTTCAAAATATGCGACACACGTTCTATCTCATTTAGCTCACAACAACAGTCAGAAGAAAATGAAAATTCACAACCAAAGCTTGGCATAACAAGCGCCAATCATGGCATATTTGATGGGTCGATGTGAAAAAGTTGAGTCATTAGCGTTGAACACTGGTTTTAATGGAACAAGAATCAGCGACATGAAGAGGTGAAAAAAAATGTCAATAAACTCATTTCAATGGAGAAAATCAACATGTACGAGCGAATAGCTTTGCTAATTTCCATCGCATACTTTGTGATTAAATGATTTTATTACATACTTGAACTCCAAATATTCTAACTGGTTTCTCATTTTATTGCCGTCGGGGCCTCTAACTCTAAACACCACAATTTAATGAAATAGTTTAAGTCAGCACTAGAGTTTTTTTTTTTTTTCAAATCCTGTGTATTTTCTCAAATTGGTTACGCCACGATCTGACGGAATTGAAAATTGGTGTGAGTCACAAAATGGTTAGCGGCGCCCCGGGAAAAAAATGTTGCAACTTTGATTTGCTCATTTTCTAACTGCATTTCTATGTTTTTTTTTTATCGGAAAGAAAGAAAACGAGCGATCGTGCGGCAAATACACATTGAAGTAATGATAAGGGATTGAGAGACTTTCAATAATTGATAGGCTTTTTTTCAGTTTCTTTGTATTCGGAGGGAGAACAGCTAACATGTTATCAAAACGATTCACACGCACTGTCAGGAGGACAAACATGACGTTTGCCATGTTCATAGCGCACGATCGACGGCTTACACACCGAAGCACACAAAACATATACACATAGTCAAAACATACATATAATAACATTCATACTAATTGCACAATAAATTTATGAGAATGGAATTCTATTTTGTGTACAAAAGAGAAACGATAAACAAAACCACGATAATTATAACGAACCGGCATTTTTATTATTATTATTTTTTTCGTTTGAAAAAAAACGAACTGATGTAGAAAAATAATTTTTTTTCGTTTCGTTGTGCGTATGCAACGGTGAATTGGTTGGCTTGGTTCAGTTTGTCAGAGAAAATGAGCTGAAAGAGAGAGAGAGAGAGAGAGAGAGAGAGAGAGAGAGAGAGAGAGAGAGAGCGAGTGAGAGAGACTGAATCCGAATGTTAACTGGGTTGAACGTGATCATTAGGTGCATTATAATTAACACAAACGATTGCATGAAAAGCGTGACAGAAAATATGCATTTTCAACGGCTGTTGTCGTTGTTCGGCCAACAATCGGAATATATTTCGTATTGGCCGACTGGCTGGCGCAAATTCGGTGGCGACTTTTCGCAACCGATTCAAACGTGACATTTGTGTGTTTGATTTTCTTGTTCATGGAGGAAAATTCGCTGTAAAGTCCATTTGTTTCAGTGTTCATCTCAATCGATTAGTCTGGCTACTTCCTTATTCATTGGCTGATTTCTTCATTGTGCACCACGTCACGATTTGATGGCTTTATGTCATGTAGGAAATGGTAAAATTGCGATTTTATTAGCTGGATAACGCGAGAAAAAAACACACAATCTTATCTCGTTCTGATTTTTTTTTCACTACTCGTTTTTTTGCAGTCTCATATTTTATGAAGATACAAACCGATTGCGTAATATAAATGGCTGGTGCATCGAATGCGTCTATACGCACTATTAATTTTGTGCCATGTTACATATACGAACGAATTTGTTGGCGATGGTGATGCTGCTGCTGCTGCTACTGCTGTTGGCAATGCACAACACAATCCATAGAATACAAGCCTGCCATTGCGACGCGCTTCCATGCTATTTCTATATCATATTTCTGCCATTATATTTATGCTCTTTTTTTCTCATTATTTATCGTATGTATGATGCGATATCATAAATTTATTTATCACACAGCAGCCAGCAGCCAGCAGTCAGCAGCCAGCAACGACAACACAAACAGCATCCAGCGGCAGGTCGACCAGAGAAGAGAAAAACCACAAACTGTGCAAAAACGTCGGTCAGTTAACAGAATTGATAGAGACAAGAGGAAATTGTTATAAAAGTGAAGCGCTTTTATAAATATTATGGTAAATTGCTTACGGTTAAGAAACTGTTTAGTGAACGTGTCACATGCACATTGCACATTGTGTGATTTGGAATTGAATGCCATGCCTTGGGTCACACATTCTGTAGCTGGTTGGCTGGCTGGCTGCCTGGATAGAATGCTTGCTGGTGTGAGCAATGCAAAAAAAAAGTTTTGTATGGTCTCGCGCACTCTTTGCCATAAATGAAATTGTTCTATTTGGCGTGGCTAAAGCTTGTGTGACAAATTGATAAATTACTTGTGCACCGGGCAAGGCAATCAACAATTTCGAGAGGGATAGAAATAGATCGAGCATATTGCATCAATTGAGCCTTCATCGTTGTAACTTGGTGACGATTCTTATGCGATAAAAACTGTTTTTTCCACCAGGTTGCATACATTGTGGCTCGGCGATTTTTGTTCCGATTTTCATCGCTTTTATTCTCTTGAACATATTTTTTTCCGTGCCGTTGTTGTCATTTTAATTCCGAACATAAATCATTTTACAGACATTTAGCACGCCCAATGCAGCGCTGGCCGGCGCAGCGAGATCAGACGAAACAAAAAATGTATCGAGCATGGTGCTGACGAACAAATGTAGTAAAGAGTTTTTGCTCTTTTGTTCGGATTTAATATACAAAACTCCGAACAGTAACCATTCCGAGCCGTTTAATTGCAGTTCAACCAAAGACCAAAGGCTGCATTTAACAAATCTCTTGAATGCCAGCTACCTTATTTTTTTTTTACATCGAAAAAAGCCGCTAGATTTTCTCAATCTAATCATTGAACGGCAGAAACAAACCAGCGAACAAAAATTCGAGAGGGAGAGAGAGAGAGAGAGCGAGAAAGAGCTACAGAAAAAAATTGATATAAAATTAAATTGCATGAGAAATCAATTTATTGGTAGCAATAATAAACTTCGAAGTTCAATAGCAAAACATCATGTATCATATGTGAATCGAATCGTAATGACATTTCAAACGAATGAAAAACGACGCTTGATTTACCGCGGCGTTTATTTTGTTGTTTCTTTCGTTTTTGTTGCATCGATGCATGTGTGTTTTTTTTTGTCTTTTCCAAAGGAAATGGATTGCAATCACGGCGGATTAAAGAAATAGAGCAGTCAAATGTAATCATAAAAAAATGATTATTGCTACTTTGCCGTGGCGGCGGCGTACATATACAGAAGCCGACGAGGACTGTGTAATTAATTGTTGAAGAAAAGCGTTAGTAAACTGAATAATTGATGTAAGTGGTGGAAAAATGCCGGTCGATTGTGGATTTGAAAATGGTTTTGTGCGTTTTTTTGTTTGTTTCCTTTTTTTAATTTGGATGCAAGGCGATAAATGAGGAGGGAGTCACAGATAAATAACATCCCAAATACAAAAAAAAACGATCCGGCAACATACTGGGAGAGCATAAGAAGGAATGCAGCAAGTACTTATTAACGATTTCGTACTTCCTTCACTCTTTCTCTCCTCCTCTCTCTGAGAGAGAGAGAGAGAGCTCAGTGTGTGAATTGATTAAATGTGTGTGTGTTTCTTTCTCGTTGCGTTACATTCTGTTTCGTTTCGTCCATGTGTTATGAAAGCCAGACACTCGCCGG